ATTCGGGTGGGAAGTGCCGCGATTTTTGCGCGACTCCTGGGGCTGCCAGATGCATGCGCTCATTGACCTCCTGAATGTGCGTTGGCAGCTCTTCCGAGAAACCGGCGTTGGCTATGATGCGATGAAGCGCAGCGTGGTAGAGCTTGTGCTTTGCCGCCCGAGACGGCGCCGACACCTTCCCTTCGGGGGTAGCTGCGCGAAGGGGGGGGTACGGAGCACTGGTCGCCCGGGCCCTCAGGTCACAAACGCCCCTCAATGTCCCGGAGGGGGGGGGGTCGTCTAGCAGGCCGGCCGCGTATGAGTTTGCGAAGACCCTAACAATTCTCGAAAGAGTATTGACTGTTGGTTGACCGTTGATGACAGACGTAGCACGACGAGTGGGGGGGGGCAGCGCCTCCGTGATTTCGGGAAAGAACGCTCCGCAGAAGCGGGAGATGCTGTTTGGCATAGGAAGGCAATCTCCCCTGCGACGCAATGAGTGCCCTCGCCAGGCAAGGAGAAGTTGAAATCGCCGAGCACGAACGTCTGCACCTGAGCTGGCGGCAACATAGCCTGCCGAAATGCTCTAAAAATGCTTCTTCTTGTTTTCTGCTCTACGCTCAAAGTTTGGGGATCAAGACAAACGCTTGTGATCTGGATCCCATGGTCGCCCGCAGATGCCCGGATACTGCGGGCCCTCCCTGGAGTCACTACTGAGTGTTGGAGATTCGCATTGTGTGAAAGATGGCGGGGATGGATGACAAGAACGACCCCAGCGCGGATATGCGCCCTCTCGTCGAACGACCCGAAGATGCCACGGTGAGGGGGCCCCCCCAGGGAGCGCCGCGCGGCCCCCTTCGTGCCCGTGGGCTTCCTGGAGAGCAGCAATGCCTGGAGCAGCGCGCATGGGTAACATTCCGCTTCGTTTGGCGGCTTCACTTCCACGATGCCCGCGCACCGATCCAAAAAGAACTCGCTCGTTCCAGGTAGTGAGACGGAGGCCAGAGCCACTGCGCAGCCCAGAGGGGGGGGGGCCAGCGGGGGATCCAGGAGCTTGTGACGGGGATGGGGGGTCACACCAGCTTGCACAGGGCCAGACTGGGAGCGGATGGCACGCTCGCGCTGGCAGGAATGGAAAACTTGCTGCTGCTGCTGCTGCCGATGGCCAAAAAGAGCGCCAGGTGATGGAGCATCAGGCTCGATCCCTGCATCTACTGGCTCGTACACAAAACGAACAAGATTCGCAGACGGCTCAGGGATTCCTCAAATTTACCCCAGGACTGCCACGCCTATGGCGACTTTGATGAGGGCATTGGCGGCCCGGGTGTCGATGCCCCACGATCTGAGGTTGTCGAGGTTGGGCTGGGTGCTGAACTGATTCTCGCTCTCCTCGATCGTGTTGGAGAGCACCCAACGGTCGCCCTCCTGGCTGTCGGTGGTGGAGAACTCTCCGCGAGCGCCGTTGGCGCTGAGCGTGTGGGTGCTTGGAACCCATGTTCCAAGACCCTGTAGCTTGGACAAGGTGTGGGGCCATAGGCTTGAGAGCGCGCGCTGGCGTAATCTGTGGACCAGCGGCATGTCGGGCCTGGCGCGGAGGTTGACCCGAACCTTCTTGCGCGGATCGTGCCACGTGGGCATGTTGCCGTGTGCCCATTCACGGCAATGCTTGCACGCGTCCTCGGTGCTGAAGTGGGCGATGCAACTCATGGACACTTTGAGGAACTTGGCGGAGTTGTCTTGGTGAAGAGCAGGATGTGCGTTGGCCAAAGCTGGCTTCAGGTTGGCGAAATGAGAGCGACGATGGCTTTGCAACACTGCCCGCGGCAACCCCCAATCCAAGCACGCGTATGGTCAGGCTCATCATCTCGAACCGTGATGGTGGGGACAGGCGGGCCCTCGATCCTGCGTCTCGTCAAGCACGAGCCGCTGGTGGCCGTTGTGGCGACCGAAGACGGAGGTCGAGAGATCGTGTTGATCTGCCTCTGGATGTTCGCAACCTTGGAGTCGATGGTGTTGGTGATGCGGGCGGTGACGTCGAGGTCCTCCCTCGGAGTGGGAGTCCCCTGCTGCACGGAGGTCTGCAACCCAGCGAAAAGGGGATCCCCATGCCATTGGCATCGATTGGGCTGTGGACACCATCTCTGAGTAAGACTGTGTGGTTGGTTCGTTTGCAACTGAGCGCGCTGGTGCGGGAATTGTAGCTTTTGATGGCGATGCGCATCGTGCCCATCTTTTGGCGCATCTCGGCGGGCTGGGGCTGAATGGCTTGTGTGAGCGCGGCCAGAATCTCCGTGGATGCCATCCTGGGACCGACGGGAGAGATCCTCATGGTTGCTGGGCACGAGCGAGCGGGCGGCAAACTGTCGCCCTGTGCGACAAAGTCGGGAGCCTTGGGCCACCCTTCGGCACCGTCCGAGCACGAAGCATCAAAGACACACGTTTCGAACTTGAGCCAAAATGGCTACGGAAGAGGAAGAGGAGGAGGAGGAGGCGGAGGAAGAACACGAGGGGGGAAGGGAGAACGAAACGGAGGTGGAGAAAGACGAAACAAAGGACGAGGAGGAACAGGAAGAGTGAGGAAGAGAAGGCCGCCCTCGAATTTGTTATCGTCCGTGCTCGTGCTGATCCTCCACCGCTTTCCTCCTCCTCCTCCTCCTGATCATGTCCCCCCCCACTCTTCCAACTCATCCTGATCCCCCCTCGTCCCTTATTATTTGTTTCTTGTTGGTAGTAGTAATAGCAGTAGTAGTAGTCGTAGTAGTAGTAGTAGTAGTAGTAGTAGTAGTCGTCGTAGTAGTAGTAGTAGTAGTAGTAGTAGTAGTAGTAGTAGTAGTAGTAGTCGTAGTAGTAGTAGTAGTCGTAGTAGTAGTAGTAGTAGTAGTAGTAGTAGTAGTAGTAGTAGTAGTAGTAGTAGTAGTAGTAGTAGTAGTAGTAGTAGTAGTAGTAGTAGTAGTAGTAGTAGTAGTAGTCGTAGTAGTAGTAGTAGTAGTAGTAGTAGTAGTAGTAGTAGTAGTAGTAGTAGTAGCAGTAGTAGTAGTAGTAGTAGTAGTAGTAGTAGTAGTAGTAGTAGTAGTAGTAGTAGTAGTAGTAGTGGTAGTAGTAGTAGTAGTAGTAATAGTATCCTTCTGCGCTGTCTTACGATTACAACCAGCAATCTCATTCTCAGTAGCATGAGAATCAGCATCATCATATTCATGATTACTTCTATTGTTGTTACTACACGTCGTATTATTGGTCGTCTGGAATTTAGAATGCATGATGATGTTCGGGGTTGTGACGAAGATGATGATGCTGACTATTAAGAGTGCTAGTCATTTGACCTTCATACTATCATCAATCGTAGTCATATTATCATGATTCGTACTGTTACTAATCATGTTACCACTCTAATTTGTGTTATTGACTTTCTTGGTGTTATGATTCCCCGTCCTCCTCCTCGTTCTCCTCTTCCTCGTCCTCCTCCTCCTCCTCCCTTCTGTGTCCCCCTCCACAAAGAAAGCGTCTTCACGACGCTTTCATCGTCCGCCGCGGCCGCCGCCCCACCAACCTTCCGCCGATGGCAAACGTCAGGATTGCATCCTTAAAGCTGCAGGTTGGAGTCTGGCCCAAATGAAACCCATCGGGTCGGGTCCAGCGCAAGCGCGTCCACCGCCCCCCCCCCTTCCGCCGATGGCAAACATAAGGATTGTCTCCTTCGAGCTGCAGAGGGGAGCCTGGCCCAAGTGGGACTGATCGGGTCCAGCGCACGGCCGCGGCCACACACACACACAAACACACACACACACACACACACGCACGCACGCACGCACGCACACACACACACACACACACTCAAACACACAAACACGCAAACACGCAAACACACACACACACATACACACAGACACACACACGCACACACGCACACACACACACACACGCACACGCACACGCACACGCACACACGCACGCACGCACACGCACACGCACACGCACACGCACACGCACACGCACACGCACACGCAAACACGCACGCACGCACGCAAACACACACACAAACACACACACACACACACACACACGCACACACACACACACACACACACAACGCGCGGCAAACTAAAAAGGGGCATGATTATCCAGGCCGAGGTCAATCCGAGCTCGGTACTCCGCCCCTCCTCATCCCTTCGATGCGCCGCTGGAGCCTGCCCCCCCTCCCCCTGCTCCTCCCTCCCCCTCCTCTCCCCCGCCCGGATCTCGGGTCGTGCGTGTAGCTCGGCTCCCCGGCGGGGCGCAGCTGCTGGAACGCATCCTGGGGCTGACAAGCCGCAGAAGCAAAACAACGAACACGCCCGAAGATCTCGAACCTCGATCTGGGAAATGCTGCCTCCCTCCTCCCCCTTCCTGCTGCTCCTCCCCCAGCAGCGCGCGCGGGTCTTCCCCGCGGCCGGAGCTCGTCGAGTGGGAGCCAGCAAACACATTCTCCCCCCTCCTCCTTCCCTTGTCGTCGTCGACGTCGTTCTCCTCCTCGTCCTCCTTCTCCTCTCGGCGAGCTGACGAGTTGAAGGCCATATGATCCGTCGGGCCCTCCCCCACGGGGCCGGTCGGCCATGGGGGGTGATCAAACTAAGAGCCATGCGACTCCTGGAACACTCGCTCCAAGAATCGTCGTAATGATGGCGACAACAGAAAGAAATAATAAACGGAAAATCGCAAGAAAACATGTGTCGCGGCGCCGTTTGTTCTGTGCGCGCCCAATTCGACGACGTCGGCACCGCGGTCAACACACGGCGAGCCCACCGCGCCCGAGGCGGCGTTTGCCCTGGTGTCCGCGGCGCCCTCCCCACGACGCGAGGCCGCGCGTCGGAACAAACGGCGAGGCGACATATTATAACCATAAGAAGGGCGAGTAGTGGCTCGAGCGGAGTTCGCCAACATCTAGCTACACCCACGTACTCGCCAGATCTATGCCCGCACCTGTGGCAGACATGCAGTGACCCTCCCCCTCTTCGTCCCCATCCTCTTCCTCCAGCGGCGGCGGCCTCCTCCGCCTCTTGGCCGCCGCCGCCGCCACTCGCGGACGCGGGGCGCGAGCCGCGCACGGAGGGCAGCATGACGCGGTACAGCTGGTGGCCAAGACCGGCGCTGGCCTGCCGCGCTCGTCGCCGTCGTCGTCGTCGTCGTCGTCGTCGTCGTCGTCGTCGTCGTCGTCGTCGTTGTCGTCGCCCTCGTCGTCGTCGTCGACGTCGTCGCTCCGCCCGCCTCCTCTCGCTCCTCCCTCTCTCACCCGGCCTCACCCTCCTCCTCCTCCTCCGCCTCCTCTTCCCTTTCCTCCTCCTCCTCCTCCTCCTCTTTCTCTTCCTCCGCCTCTGCCTCTTCCTCCTCCTCCTCCCCCTGTTCCTCTTCCTCCTCCTCCTCCTCCTCCTCCTACTCCCTCCCTCTTCTCCCCTCCTGTTCCTCCCTCTTCCCGTTCTCTCCTCTTCCTCCTCCTCCTCCTTCTCCTCCTCCGCCTCCCCCTCCTCCTCATCTTCCTCCTCCTCCTCCTCCTCCTCCGTTCTCACTTCCGAGCGCATTCCGCCAACGGTTGCAGCCGCCGTACATGTTTTCGGAGCTGGCGCTTGCGACCTGCATGCCGCACCGGCTGCGGTGTCGGAGCCGCCTGTCTTCGGAGTCTGGTGTTGGCCCGCCGCCAGCCTGCCAACGGTTCAGCCTGCCAGGGTGGTCGCTGGACGGCTGTCGGGATACGCGTTGTTTGGATTATCTGGCCACGCGCAGCTCCCGCTGCCACTTCTCGCCCTCTCGCGCGCGGCTGCTTGGAGGAGAGGCAAGTGGGAATCGGACAGTTGGAGGCGGAGGGTGACTCAGCGAGAGGTCAGGATGCTAACTAGGGGCGGGCCAGCGCGCTGTGCCCACTCCCCTATTGCTCCTGCCTCGAAATGGCATGTTTCTGAGGAGACTTCATGACGAAGCGCGGAAAAGAGGGGATCGAGAACCTATCAGGAGGGAGAGGGGAGGGGGGTAACGGAGTGGAGAAGAAGATCATGCGGCCAAGGGCGAGGCGTGGAAGAACACGGCGCAGGAGGAGGCGGAGGAGGGGCATATCGATGTGACCGAGCATCGCAGGAGGGATGAGATGGACAGCAAGGCTGGACAACCAATCAGGCGGTCAACAACGAGACCTCTCGTCTCAACCAACGGGGCCGAGGGGCAGAGGGAGAAGGTGAGCTGAGCAGGAGGGGGCGGAGGAGGAGGACGGAAGAGCAGGAGGGGGGCGGAGGGGAAAGACACTCAAAGAGGACACAGGGATGCGGGGAAACCCGGCCCGCCCCGCCACGTGCCTTGCGGGCGCGGGTCTCAAGGGCCGCCGGGACGCGTCGGCTCGCCCTACCGCGTGCCACGTGGGCACGGATGTCACGGGCAGCCGGGCACTTGCGGCAGACGTGTTGGTTTTAGCCGCCTCCCGCAGCTTTTGCTCCTCGGGGAGCTTGCCCAACAGCTCGGACGCACGTTTCTCCAGCTGCTCCGCCTCCGCCTCCGCGGCCGAGCATCTCCAGAGCCCGCTGCAGCTGCTCGCCGTTCCACAGAGATGACGTCGGGCTCCGATTTTGCCTCGCACATCTGGCTCGGCCGCGCCACAACGACAAGCGGCCAGTCTACACCCTTCTCACACGCACGGGTCCCGCCGTTGTAGCTGACGCGCGCGCGCTGACTCCAGCATTGTGGCCGACTTGTGCGCGCCCGTGGCATATCCACGGCGGGCGGGCCGAAGTGTGGGCCCCGAGCGCGCAGATGTCGGAGAAGGAGGAGGAGGAGGAGGAAGAGGAGAGGGGACGGGAAAAAGAGCTTTCTGGGATCGAGTTTGGGGTGTGGGGCTTTCTTTGGGGCTAATGTCGTGGAGGTTTCTCCTATCACCGATCGCCCGTAGGCGGGGGGCAACGCTGGCGTGTGCAGGGAGGAGAGGAGGAGAGGGCGAGGGAAAGAAAAGCGAGTAAAAGGAAGACAGCGCCACTGGAAAGAAGGGTGCGGAGGAGGAGGAGGAGGAGGAGGAGAAGGAGGAGGAGAAGGAGGAGGAGAAGGAGGAGGAAAAGGAGGAGGAGAAGTAGCAGGAAGAGGATACGTAGGAGGAGGAAGAAGAGGAAGAGACGGAGGACCAATGTAAAACCAAGACTCGTCAACCATGATGAAATACAACCTCCCTCAAAGCTCTCTTTTCATAGGCCCCTACACAAGGGTTCACTTCCACTGACAGAATGTTCCCCTTTGGGGGGCAACCGTGTGAACATCGTGAACCGTGCCGAAACGCCATTCACAGGACTTCAGCACCACGAATCAACCTGACTCTTGCGTCTTGGCGATCCTGAATCGTGCCAGAACGCAATATTGTAGTGGCCTCCGGCCAGTGCCGCCGATCCGGGGCGCTCTGGATGATGATGCTGATGATGATGGTGATGTGACGATGGTGATGGTGATGGTGATGGTGATGGTGATGGTGATGATCCCGCCCCCCCCCTCCTCTCTCCTGTCCCCCCCCCCTCTCTCCTGTACAAATACTCAATATGAATACTACTCTCCTCCTTCCCCTGATGACGGGTTGGGAGTGTTCGCCCCCCCCCCCCCCCCCGCGTACTGTTTTTTACACACAGGATTCCCCGGAGTTGGGTTTTCGCCTGCATTTTTTTCAAAATGCTGCTCTCGCTGAGGCGCCGGCCTCATTTTCGGGCCCCGCTCGTTCCGAATCGTGCTCCCGCTGCAGCGCTGGCCTCATTTCCGTGCTTCCGCTCGTTCCGAATCGTGCTCCCGCTGCAGCACTGGCCTCATTTCCGCGCTTCCGCTCGTTCCGAATCGTGCTCCCGCTGCAGCGCTGGCGTCATTGCCCGTGCCATGCCACGGCATGCAATGCAATGCTAGATTGCGTTCCGCTGCGCGATGCCATGCCTTCAGCTGAAGCTGTGATATGCAGTGCTTAAGTGCCACGTCGTGCTACATCATGCTACGCTTTGATCTTCAACGCCATGCTGTTCAATGCTATGTCCGGGGCCGCTGTGCGATGCCATGCTTTGCGTTGCAAAGCTTTGTGATGCAATTCTTCACTACGCCACGCCACGCCATGCTGTGACATACTACGCTTTGCGGTGCTCTTCTACGCCATGCCATGCCGTGCTCTACAATGCATCGCGTACCCTTTCGGGATCATTGCCCTGCTCGACATCCGACTGTGCGAGTAGAGAGGGGATCTACGCCATGGTAAGGGATGGGAGGGAGGGGTAGGATGTCAGATATGACGCGAGCGCACCTAGCCTGCCTCACCCCTTCTCTCCTTTCCCCCCCCCTCTCCCTGTTCCCCCCCCCCCCTCCTCTCCTGTCCCCCCCCCCTCCCCCGCCCCTCTCCTGTCCTCTCTCCTGTCCCCCCCCCTCTCTCCTGTCCCCCCCCCTCTCCTTTCCCCCCCCCTCTCCTCTCCCCCCCCTCCTCTCTCTCCTGTCCCCCCCTCCCCCCCTCCCCCCCCTTTCTCTCCTGTCCCCCCCCCCTTTCTCCTGCTCCCCCCCCCCCCTCTCTCCTGTTCCCCCCCCCTCTCGCTCCTTTCTCCCCCCCCTTTTCTCCTGTCCCCCCCCCTCTCTCCAGTCCGCCCTCCCCCCCTCTCCCTCCCCCTCTCTCCTGTCCCCCCCCTCTTCCCTGGGGGCTGGCAGGGGCGGGGAGGTGTCGAGCACTGAATTCGTCAGTTAATGAAGTCCCCCCCTTCCCAGCAGAGCTAAAACTCATGCTGTAGCAGAGCTTCAGCTTAGACTTCTTAAACTCACACGCCGGATCGGCGGACTTAGAACTTCAACGCCGCGAGTCAACGTAAGTTTTGCGCCCTGACAATCCTGAATCGCTCCCAAACGCCATTTCTGTTACGTTGGCCATGACACTCAACAATATGCTCGCAAACAACTTACAGCGAATGTGCGCGGCGCGAAGGCGAGAACCACATGCTGAAAACGACCCGCTCGCAATCCGTCGCGCTCGTGGAAACTTTTAACAAGAAGGTGCGCGGCGCTGAAGCGAGAGCCAACATTCCAAAACGAGTTTCCATGGATCCGTGAAACTCTTGCAACTGCTAGAAAGCTATGTGCGAGGCGCTCAGGTGAGAACCACATGCTCAGAATCACCCGCCCTCAATCCGTGCAGCTCTTTTAACATTCGAAAACGAATGTGCGCGGCGCTGTGGCGAGAGCCACATGTTTAACACCATCCACCCTCAACCCGTTACGCTCTCGCAAGCTTCTAATAACAAAGAATATGCGCGGCGTTAAAGCGAGGTGAACATTCTGGAAACGGCCCGCCCACCGTCTGTGAAACTGTTCGGAGTTGAGCATCCGGGTCATCAGCGGTGAAGAAACCGCGAGCCGGCCAGAGAAAAACAGGGAGGAGCCACCCACAAGGGAAAGGAATGGAGGAGAAGGAGGAGGAGGTGGCGGAGGGGGAGGAGGAGGAGGAGTAGGAGGAGGAGGAGGAGGAGGAGGAGGAGGAGGAGGAGGAGACGGATAATGATGAGGAGGAGGAAGTTGAGTATGAGGATGATGATGGTGAGCAGGAGGAGGAGGAGGAGGAGAAGGAGGAGGAGGAGGAGGAGGGGGATGGGGAGGGAGGATTCGTTTCCAGCGCAGGCGCGAGCACCAACACATTCTTGTGCCAATCTGGTCCATGCCAACAGGCGGGGCAGGAGGAGGAGGAGGAGGAGGAATCGAAGAGAGGCGAACAGGGGGAAGGGCTTTCTGGGGCGTTGTTTGGGGTGTTTTTTTTCTTTGGGGCTTCGGGTGATCCAGAAATGGCAAAACGTGCCGGGGCTCCAGGTCCCGTGGGGGATCCTTGGCAACTATCAGGCTCTCTTGGGGGGCTGCGGGCCATCTAGGAGTGGTCTCGGGCCTTTGTGGTCTTGGACTTTCTTTGAGGTTTCCGAAAATTCTGAAATTTTACCAAAAGAAAACAAAAAACAAGAAAACGCAAGGTGCTGGGGCTGGAGGCACTCGTGAAAGCTCCTTGGCTAGTGTCGGGGTCTGCTGGCTGTAGAGCATCTTGGAGCGGACCTTCTTGGACAGCTCTTGGGGCCTCTTGGCCCGTCTGAGAATCCAGAAACGGCGACCGGTGCTGGGACTGGAAGGGGCTCTTGTGAGCTCCTTGGCAACAGTCGGAATATGTTTGGAGGCTGTAGAGCATCTCGGAGCGGTCCTTCTTGGACAGTTCTTGGGGCCCTCTGGGGACATCTGAGAATCCAGCAACGGCGAAAGGTGCTGGTGCTGGAGGCTATTTTGGGAACTCCTTGGCATCAGCTGGAATCTGCTGGGAAGCTCGAACACCTTGCAATAGTCCTTCTTGAACAGCGCTTGGATCGCTCTTGGGCCATTCTGAGGCCTTCTTGATCCGTTTAGGGGCCCTCTTGGGCCGTCTCGGGGGCCTCTTGGGCCATCTTGGGGCCATGATGGGGGTCCTGGGCCGTTTGGGAGCCCGACGTGGGCCCTCTTGGGCGGCTTCTGGTGCGTCGTGGGGGGCTAAAGCTCTGTTCGGCCATCTGGGGCCTGTCTTGGGCCAGCTCGAGGCCCTCTTGGGTCGTCTTGCTGCGCTGTCGCGCGCCAGAAGATCTAACAGGACAGCGCCTTTCCGGTTCAGGCGGGGTCCTGCACTCTAGATGACGTTGGGCTGCGGTCTCGCTTCCAGCATCTCGCTGAGCACTGACGGCGCGAGTTGCCATCGCCCGTCTTGTCTGCATGCGCTGACAGTCACATTGTAGCGGCTTGGAACGAGTTGCACAACTAATCAAATACCTGCGCGGGCCGACCGCAGCTCTTGATCGACGCTTCGAGGGGAATAACGCCTTCTGGAGATCATGGGCCGATGTCCAGCATCTGACAAGTGCATCCAGAATTTGCACGGCACCACGGCTGGTTGAGCCCAGTATGGTCTTGAGCCCAATATGGCCTCGAGCTAAATGGCCTTGAACCACCATTGATTGCGCCAATAAATCGGCCTCGTCCTCTTCCTGCCTCCTCTTACTCCAACCCTCCTTTTCCTGCTCCTCCTCCTTCTGCCTTCTTGCTCCTCTTCCTCCTCCCTGGCGAGCAGCAGGCGCGCGATCAGCATCTCGGCTGAGCCTCGCCCTGGTGGGGTTTATGTCATAGCGAGTGAGACGGTCGCGAGGAATTTGCGCGGCATTCTCCCGAGGGCGATCACGAATGTTGAGATCTTTAACCAGCGCTGCCGCAGCCGCGCATGGAGCAGAGCGAAATGCTGCCGCCTGAAAGAAACTTTAGCTCTTCACCTTCGAGAGCGCGTTCGCAGGAAACTCACGATTGCGGGCGTTCCGGTGGTGGGTGGTGAACTGCTCGCCTGGGCGGAAGGCCATAATGTACAACATTCTCCCGGGCACGAAGGTAAAATCCTCCACCGCCATGCCCGCCGCACTCTGGAACAAAAGTAGCCGCGGCACGCAAATGGAACGATGCGCCAGACCATGTAGAGCAAATGGTGCACATCCCTCTCATGCACTTCTGTCACCGCGGTGACCTTCCTGCAGGCCAGCGCGGCATCTGCTTCGGACAGCCAACGAACCACATTGAGACGCATGGAGCCAAACTGACGGGACGAATTGCAAGGGCAACGCGGCGTTCCAAGTTGTATACCTGACTTGACTTGTGCCGAAAGATGTGTTACCCAACCCGCTGTGCTTCCCTTGCTGCGCAAATGCCGCCCGCCACTTCCTGTGCTCTTGATTGGCAGAGCCCATCATCACCCAATGTGGCAAGATTTCGTTCAACTGCGGCTGGGCCGCGTGATACCACCACCATGCGCGTCAAACATTCCCTCGTGGATAGCAGCTGGGCACCTTCCGTGTCCAGGATTGTTCGAAGTTAAAACAAAGTTCCCCAATCCTTTGCGTAATTTCTCAAGCACCATCTCGGTCACCATTTTTCTGGTTTTGTTGTTTAGTTGCTGGACTAATGTGCAAGGTGCGCTGACGGACGCCTGGCACGGTGCACGAGAAGCCCGTCCACAATCCTGACGGTGAACGTAATACAGCCTGCGCGTGCCGCCTCCGACCCTTACGGCTGCATCTAAAGGTCCTGAGAAGAGCAACTGGCAATTCTTCCTAAGCTTCTCCCCCTCCACAAAAAAATCCGTGCCACTCCATGCCGAATGATTGACTACCTCCGCCGTCCATCCTCCGATAGCTGACTGCACACCCTGTTTCCCAACAGCATCTGGGCATCGAACGCATTGTACACGACGATCCACCTCCCTCTCCCAGTCCAATGGAAGCAACGATGGCTTGGGCAGCGCACGAGCGATCCAACTCCTTCACCCAGCAGGCCAGCCTTCTCTCAATATCCTGATTAGAACTGTCGGACTCGTCCACTCGTCCTTCGGTACCCTTGCACCAACGATGAAGTGCACGTTTCTCCTCGATTCTCTGAAGTGATGGAACTATTAAGAGCGCGAATATTGTAGGGAGCTGGTAAGCCAACGTTTGTCGCCGCGAGAACTGTGAACTCTTTGACGGCCTCTGGTTTGAAATCTTGAAGTTGCAGATCGATCGGGCTTTGTGCCCAAGGGCCCCCTTGTCCAGCAGCATCGACACCACTTGATCCCCCACCCTTGCTTGCGACGGGGCAGCAGGCATCGCTGACGAAATCCCTATGGCATCCGCCTGCGAGGGGGCCGCCGCCTCCATCCCCCATGAACTGTGACACGTCATGGGCGCATCATTTCCTTGGGCGGCAGCAGCAGCATCGGCGTCGGTTCTGGCATGAGGAGCGGGCCGATTACGTTCACGATCTGTGCGTCTTTTATCCCGTCCACGAACTCCTGATGCGGGTGGCGACACCAGGCAAGAAGGCAACCGAAAAGGGCGAATGCTGATCCTTTCTTCTTGCGATCCTTTTTCTTGACCTTATTGCGCTTTGGAGTCTTAGAATGGTCATCGCCACGTCCCCTATGCGAGCTGTCTCGCACTAGTGCCCCCAGACACCAAACATGCCTCGGTTTGCCCTAAGTCGCTGATAGAACCGTTCGAGAAACACGCCCTCGTGCACTTGCACGAGGATCCAGCCTGGGGTGGACCAGGCGGGAAGGTTGGAACAAACCTCGGATCAGAGGCCTCCATGGGGGCCCCAGGGAACCTGGCATCTGGCGCTAAGATGGCTACGAAGGAGCGGAAGAGGAGGATGATGAGGAAGAAGAGGACGAGGAAGAGGAGGAGAAAGAGAGAGAGAAGAGAGAGGACGAGGAGAGACGAGGGGAGACGCGAGCTGAGGAGTGAGGAGAAGAGAAGAGGCCTGGATGGTTGGCGCCATCATTGAGCCGGTGGACGCCAAGACCTGCTCGACGGGCGCGCGGGAAGAGGCAACGGCGAGGGGACGGGCCTTCTTAGAAGGCGCTCCCACCTCTCAGAGGCCCTCCCGCCCTCCAGCCGGGGAGGGCGTGAGACCCGAGTTCTGGTAGCTCGACATTGGCTGACATGAGTGGGAACATGTCACGCGTAACAGAATCGTTCGCGTACCGGCGCCCCGGCACCGTTGCGGCGCATCTGGCGCAGGTCCACAACAAATCCGCGCGGACCTCCTGAAGTAAATATTTCTGTTTTGTGTGTTTTCGGCTGACGGACGGTTCGACGAATTGCGGGACCTGGTGCGAAATGTGACCCGATTTCCCGCTGCAAGCATCCCTGGAAAACTGGGCCGTGAGAGTTCGTGTCTGGGCTGTCCACACAAGCGACAGGCACTCCCCGAACTTGGGTCAACTCAGGCCTCACGCTTCCCCGATCCGTCGGCTGCACGTAAGAGTGACCCGTTGGTGCGGGGGTTCACGGGGGACGCGAAGTGGCCAAACTTAAGCACGCAGTCCGACGCTATCGCATCGCGTTCGGTAGTCGGAGAGCCCCATTTGGGCCCGCACCGACGGTCACTCCGGCGAACAGTCACTCTTACGTCGATCGTCGGATCCAGCACCGCTGCTTCGAAGCCACCTGGGGAAGGGCCCGTCTTCAATCGGAGGCCCGCCTGCCCTCTTTTCAGAGGGCCGCCAACATCGCTCCACCATCGCTCAAGTCGGCCACAAGCAAGAGTGACCCCAGGCAAAAGTGACCCGTGGCGCGCGGACTAAGGGAGCGCAAAATGGCCAAATCCAAGCGCGCAGTCAACTGCTATCGCCTCGCGATCAGCGAGCGGAGGGGCCCCGACGAACCCGCACCAAAGGTCACTTTGGCGAAGGGTCACTCTTACGTGAGGCCGATCAAAATCCACCCAGATAGCGGGCCCCCACGCCCCTTCCTGGGGCCCATCCAAGCATTTTTCGATACCAACACAACGTTTGTTCAACGCAATGTTTTTACACGTGTTATTTTGCTTTGTATTATTGTTCCAACCATCCTGTGGTGTTGGGTCCGCGTTTTGAAGAGACGGTCCCCGCGTTCACTCCTCCTCCTCCTCCCGCTGCCCGCTCCCTCCTTCCCACCCTCGCCTATCCCCGTCCGCATGTCTTCGTTTCGGCACACCCTTCACACGTTTCGCAGCCCCATAAGGAGCCAAACCGAAGGCCCCAGTGCTGCGTTCGCATGACACCACCGCACGCATTTCGGCACATCCCTCACACGCTTCGTGGCCCCATGGGGAGCTCAACCTCAGGGCCCAGTGGCTGCGCTCGCATGACACCATGACACCACCGCACACATGTCGCCACATCCTTCAGACGCTTCGTGGCCCCATAAGGAGCGCCACCGAAAGCCCAAGTGGCTGCGTTCGAGTGACACCACCGCACCCATGTCAACACATACCTCACACGTTTCGTGCGCCACCAAAGGCCCCAGTGGCTGCGCTCGCATGACACCACCTCGCACATTTCGGCACACCCCTCAAACGTTTCATGGCCCCATAGGGAGCCAAACCGAAGGCCCGAGTGGCTGCGTTCGCATGACACCACCGCACGGATTTCGGCACATCCCCTACGCGTTTCGTGGCCTCATATGGGAGCTCCACCGCAGGCCCCAGTGGCTACGCTCGCATGACACCACCGCGCCCATTTCGGCACGCCTCTCACACGCTCCGTGGCCCCACAAGGAGCTCCACCGAAAACCCCAATGGCTGCGCTAGCATGGCACCACCGCACCCATGTCGGCACACCCCTCACACGCTTCGTGGCTCCGTAGGGAGCCAAACCGAAGGCCCCAGTGGCTGCGCTCGCATGACACCACCGCGCGCATTTCGGCACATCCCTCACGGGCTTCGTGGCCTCATATGGGGGCTCCACCGAATACGATACCAAACATTGTGTTACTCACAACTGCACATGGTCGGGTCATTGGCCATGCTTTTATACAACAAGAAAATGGCACTACATATATAACTTTGCAGCAACAACTGCGCAAAACAAACTACGCGGGACACACCTCGCAAGAAAATGACACAAAAGGGCATTGCGCGGGAATCGCTAAGTGAAAGACACCATGCAAGACACACTACGCAGGAATCGCTGCGCAGGAAACACGCTACGCAGGACACGCGTAACGTTAAACAACACTACGCGGTGTCAAAAAACACATTACGCAGAAAACGCGACGCAGGAAACACTACGCAGGACGCACTAAGGAAATGCTACGCAGGAAATGCTACGCAGGAAACGCTACGCAAGAAACACAACGCAGACAACACAGTGCGTAAAAAACTGCGGAAAAAAAACACGACGCAAACAAACCACAACAATCACACAAGTTAAACATAACAACGCTACGTAAAACACATTCATTACATTGAATAAAACAAAACGTAAAACCACAGTGCATAAACAACACTACACAGCGCAAGACACACGACGCAAATAACACTACGCAAGAGAAACTACGCAGGATCAACACTGCGTAAAAAACAACACAACAAAATACACGCTTCGTAAACACACACTGCGTAAAACAAAACACGCGACGTAAAACAACACTGCGTACAGACACACTACGTACAACAATAGACTGCGTAAAACAAGCACTGCGTACAACAACACGGCGAACAAAACACTGTGCAGAACACACTACGCAAGAAACGCTATTCAGATAATAACGCTCCACAGGAAGCACTACGCAGGAAACGCTACGCAGATAACACTACGCAAACAACACTACGCAAGACACGCCACGCAGGAAACAACACGCAAGAAACACTACGCCGGAAACACCACGCAGAAAACACTACGCCGGAAGCAACACGCAAAAAAAAATACGCAGAGTGCAGGAAACACCACTCAGGAAACACTACGCCGGAAACGCTACGCAGGAAACGCTACGCTAGAAACACCACGCAGGAAATACTACGCAGAACGCAGGAAACACCACGCAGGAAACACGAAGCAGAACACACTACGCAAGAAACGCAACGCAAGAAACACTACGCAGGACACACACAATACGTAGAAAACACTGCGTATCAAAACACGGCGTAAGACAAACTACGTCAGAAGAGCACTCGGTCCAACAAAATACTGACCAACTTAAAGCAACAAACACTACGCTGCACAAACACACATTACATAAACAAGCACTGCGTACAACAAAACACACTGCGAAAATAACACTACATACAAAGACACTGCGAACCAAACACAGCGTAAACAAGAACACTGCGTAACAAAAACGCTACGCAGAAAACACTACGCAGGAAAAAAAACGCGGGAAATAATTCACAGGAAACACTACACAGGAAACACACTACGTACAATACACTTCGCACAACCGATGCGTACATGACACTGGGTAAAACACGCTGCGTAAACAAAACTGCGTGGCAAAAACAACAAAGATGTAAACCACACCACGCAGAAACCAATAATCAGGAAACAATGCGCAGGACACGATACGTAGGAAACAATACGCAGGAAACAACACGCAGGAACCAACACGCAGGACACAATACACAGGGACAAGTACCCAAGAAACGCGACGCAGGAAACACTGCGCAGGAAACGACTCGCAGGAAACACTACGCAAGAAACACTACGCAAGAAACAATATGAAGGAAACACTACGCAATAACCACTACGCAGGAAACACTCTTCAGGAAACACTACGCAGGACACACTACGCAGCAAGCACTACGCATGCCACAGTACGCAGCAAACCACTACGCAGAAAACCACAATACAGAAAATCACCCAGCAAGAAACACTACACGCAAGACACGCTACGCATGAAAACACTACGCAGGAAAGCAATGCAGCACTACGCAGGACACGCCTTTCAGGAAACACTACGCAGGACAAACTACGCAGGAAGCACTACGCATAGGAAATATTAACCAGGAAACATTGCGCAGGAAACACTACGCGTAAGGAACACTACGCGTAGGGAACACTACGCGTAGAAAGCATTGCGAATAGGAAGCACTACGCGTATGACGCACTACGCGTAGGAAGCACTACGCGTAGGAAACACTACGTTCAAGAAACACGATGCGTAGGGAACACTTCGCGTAGGACGCACTACGCGTAAGAAACACTACGTAAACACAGACAAAACACAAACCACTACATCAAACAACACATGTTCCGTACCAAACACTACGTAAGCAACACTGCTTCATAACATCACCAAACCACGATGCAACACACACTAAGAAACAAAACCACCACGTAAACAAAACGCCACGTAAACAAAACTACGTACAACAAACTACGGAAAACAAACACTAAGTACAGCACGCTACGCAAACACACTCTGCGCAAAAAGCACTGCGTAACAAACGACTGCCAAACTTCTGCAATTCACGATTCGAATTTCGATTTCACGATTTCGATACCCTTGACAAAGCAAGGCCTCGGGAGCTCGAGTCAGCAACGCAGAGCCGCGGCGGCGGAGGTTCGCGCGCGCATCACTCCACGCGCCGGAAAAAGCTAGCCTCTTATCTGGCCCAGGGCGGGTCTGTGACAAGTATCGAGACGAGTCTTATTCGTGCATTTTGAAGGGCACGGCCGAACATTTAGCACAACATCTTGTAGTATATCGTCTACCGAACAATACGGCCATACAGAGCCTGCCATAGCGTGCGCCCTTGCGTGGCCGACGCACGTATCGTATGAGACAAACTCGTGACCCGGTTGAACGACTCGTTCCCGGGTTGAACGATGCGTTCCCCGGCGGACGTTCGAAGTGCTTTCTCAGTAGATGGAACTTCTGAGAGGTTTCCTGGTGGCCGCGAAGAAGGTTCTTGGCGTCCCCCGGAAAAAAAATGCTTGGCGGCCCCTGAGACGGTTCTTGGCGGCCCGGGAGAGAGCTCTTGGCAGCCCCCAAGAAGTTGCTTGGCGGCCCCTGAAAGAAGGTTCTTGGCGGCCCCTGAGAAGGTTCTTGGCGGCCCCTGAGAGTGTCCTTGGCAGCCGCTGAAAAGGTCGCTGGCGCCTCTGAACGGTTTTTGGCTACCTGTGAGAAGCTTTTTGGCAACCTCCTATTGGAAACCTTTGGGGGGGAGGTCTCTGATCGCTCTATGAGAAGCCTCTTTAAGCCCTCGTGGAGGCCTCCGAGGACCCTTAGAGTGATCTCCTTCTGAGAAGCCTTTGGGAGCCCCCAGAGATGCCTCTGCGAGGTTTCTGGTATGCCCCCGCTAGATCCTCGAAATCCCTCTGGAAGCCCTCTGAGAACCCTGTGGGAGCTTTCAGAATCATCCGGAAGCCGTCCTTGTGGCTAGGTGGCCGTGGCTGCATTCCTTCGACTGCGCACGTTCCTGGTGGGCCACTGTCGCGAAAGGAGAAGATGCGCATGCTCGCTGTCCCCATCGTTTTCGCCGCTTTGAAAAAAAAAAGAGCCGCCCGCACCTCCTCTGGGCCTTCTCTGGTTGCCCCAACAGCCCCCCGAGGCCACGGGAACCGCCTCGCACGGCGCCTCCCTCTGGGATGTCTCGAGGGGACCTGGAGTGGTGCTCAAGCGCTAACCCCGTATTGAAAAAGGAGCCGCCCTCAACCTCTCCCACTGGGCCTTCTCTGGTTGCCCCCATCAGCCCCCAAAGGCCTGGGTCCCCGCCTCGCACGGCGCCTCGCTCTGGGATGCTTCGAGAGGACCCGACATGGAATTCGAGCGAGAGACCTGTTTTGAAAAAAAGCCGCCCGCACCTCCTCGTCCTCCTCCTCTGGGCCTTCTCTGGTTGTCCCCTCAACCCCCAGAGGCCTCGGGCCGCGCCTCGCACGGCGCCTCCCTCTGGGATGCCTCCAGAGTGTCCCTGTTGCAAGCGAAACGCAAACAGGCAAAACAACATTCAGACCGACAGTGCGCCAGATCAAACGAGCAGGCGGCAATAACATTTAAACTAGAGCAGAACAAACGAACAAACGAGGGTAGCAGAGCAAACGAGCAGGCGAGCAGAACAAACTAGACGGCGATTCGAGCAAACGAGCAGGCGATTGACGGCGGCAACGACATTACTCCGCGCCTCGGGCCCCCTTTCATTCACGACTCCCAGCACTGATGGTGATGGTGGGTTTCTGGGGCTCGTCCCTAGGTTGCGAGGTGTTGTGCTCGTGGCTGGTTATGGGTCGGCGGTCCTCCTCCTCCTCCTCCTCCTCCTCCTCCTCCTCCTCCTCCTCCCCCTCCTCCTCCTCCTCCTCCTCCTCCTCCTCCTCCTCCTCCTCCTCCGATTGTTTCCCCTCCTCGTCCTCGCCGTCCCTCCCCTCTTCCAGCTCCTCCTCCCCCTCCCGTTCCTCCCCCGGTTCTCCCGCTGTTCCGCCTTCAGCCCCTCCACCTCCTGTTCCTCTTGCTCCCTGTCCTCATTTTGTTCCCTCTCCTCCTCCTCCCCCTCGGTCCTCTGTCCTCTTCCCCCCTTTTGTTCCCGCTCCTCCTCTTCCTCCTCCCCCTCCTTCTTGATCCTCTTTCCTCTTCCTCCTCCTCCTCCAGTTCGTTCTCCTCCCGCCCCTCTTCCTTCTCATCTTCGTTTTGTTCCGTCCCAATATCCTCCTCCTTCTCCTCCTCCTCCTCCTCTTTCTTGCGATGGGTCCGCCGTGCGCAACACCTTTCGGTGATTCAGAAGCGCAGGCTCTCCAACATTGAGAAGAGCAGAACCATTGCCACACACACACACACACACACTAGTACAACAACATGTTTGAAGAACTCGTTCCCTGGTCGGACTCATGTTGTTGCGGCGGCCTCGTAAGTGGCTACTTGTAAGTGTTGAACTCGTGTTTATGGTCGCTGCGACGGATTTAATTATGAGCTCCGCCGGGGAGCGGGTTCTTTCAAATTTGTGTTATTTCCGCTGGGGGACGTCGAACAAACGAGGAACGAATCGTTAAACTGGGGAACGAGTCGATCGCCGTATAACGTTAGTCTGTTTGGGCGTGCCGATCGTTTTTCATCCTGGATCCATGTTTGATGATCCGGGGGCCCGGTCATCAGACTCCGAGGGACGAAATCAAAGGGAAACGCCAGGATTGTCAATGATTCGGGCTTCGTAGATTTGGATCTTCCCATGGCGCGCTCCAGACCATACGAAGGAGGGGTGAGAAAGGGCAGGACGCTGAAAGCCCTACAAATATGGATGCGAATTGGGCTGCGAGCTGTCGGACCCCGAGGGGGTCTCTCGCTCGAGCAGACGCACACTCACAGCCCCCCAGAATTTCACCCTGAGACATCTGGGCGTGAGGCCTCCCAGAAGGGGTCAGAGTTCATGGGGTTCGCGCCGCATCGTCGATGCATCGCCGATGCATCGGCGATGCATCGGCGACGTCGGCGACGTATCGGCAACGTCGGCGCGTGGAGTAGATCGGGCTCCACAGCGAGCCGCATCGCCGATGCATCGGCGATGCGGCGCGATCCTCCGCCCCCGTCTACTCGGACCCTATCTGGGAGGCCTAGGACACACAGGTCTGGGTGCTAGTTGTCAGCTCATGATTCTCAACGGTCGGACCTTTTGGATAGCGTGTCGCTGCGGCGGCCCCGGCGACACGCTATGCCGTGCGGGGGATGGCGTGTCGGACCTAGGTCGGGACCCATCTGACCGCACTCGGACCCCAAGCCAAAGTTTCTGACCGCACTCGGGCACCATTGGAAGGCCCAGACACCTAGGCCTGGGTGCCAGATGCCAGCTCATGATCCTCTCCCCCCCCAGCAGCCTGCACGCCCCCGTGCCCGAGCGTGTACGAGCCGACGCCGAAGCGGCCCGCGTCGCTCCCGGACGCCGGCGCGCCCTGCGCGTACCGGCTCGGGGGGGACTCGCGGACTGGGGAGGAGCACCTGGGCCGGCGCCGCGCCCGCCGTCCTCCTCCAGCCTCCGCGCCTCCTCCCTCCACAGCCCCTCCTCCCTCCTCCGAAGTCCTCCCACTCCTCCTCCTCCTCCTCCTCCTCCTCCTCCTCCTCCAACTCCTCCTCCTCCTCCTTCTCCTCCTCCTCCTCCTCCTCCTCCTCCTCCTCCAGCTCCCCCTCCTGCTGAAATCCTCCTCCTCCTCCTCCTGCTCCTCCTCCAACTCCTCCTCCTCCTCCTCCTCCTCCTCCTCCTCCTCCTCCCTCCTCCCTCCTCCTCTCTCCTCCTTCTAAGACCTCCTCCTCCTCCTCCCCCTGGCGCTGCTGGCATCAGATTCCTCCGGGGATGGTGCCCCCCCCCTCCCCCCCCCCAGAAGCGGTCGCCCTTGGGCGTGGTGATCAAAGAGAGCCTGTAGAATGAAGGGAACCGCGAATATGGCACAAGGAGGACAAACCCAGGGGCAAGGTAACTATGTCCCCCCAGAGCCCCGAGGGGGGGGGAAGGAGAGGGGACTCCTCCCCCTCCTCCTCCTCCCCCTCCTTCTCCTCCCGCGGGTGGGTGGTGAAACTGTGTGGCTAGCGGGGAGGCCTTGTTTCGGCCGTGCGCGCCCGCACGGCACGGCCGTTCCATAGTGTCGTATCCCCCTCTTACTTATTATTATCCTCCTATCTCGTCCTCCTCCTCTTCCTGCTGTTGCTACTCCTTCTCCTACTCCTCTTCCGATTGGTGCTCCTCCTCCTCCTCCTCCTCCTCTTCCTCCTCCTCATTCTCCTCCTGTCTCATCGTTCCTCATCTTCGTTTGGGCACGTCGGTGCGACAAACTTCGACGTGACACTGTGACACCTTGTATCCCGCATTCGAACACGAGTGCTAGCGAGCATCCTCCTCCTCCTCCTCCTCCTCCTCCTACTCCTCCACCTCCTATTTGTCCTCAATGTCCTTCTTCTACTGCTGCTCCTCCTCTTCCCCCGCTCCCTGCCCCTCTCAGCTCTGGGCATCACAAATCCTGAGGGGCCCACGAACCCAGTAAGGAATATGAGGCACACGTTCTTCTGACACGCGTGCTACACTTCCCCTCTTCTCGACTGCCACCACTTCCCTCCTCCTCTTCGTCCTCCTCCTCCTCCTCCTCCTCATCATCATCATCATCAGCATCATCATCATTTCTAATGAATCATTACCACAATCATCCTGCCTCCTGCCTCTGTTTGTCGCTCGTCCGCCTTCCTCCTCGTCTCCATTGTTCTTCTCATCGCCTGTCTCGGCGACTCGTCCCCCTTCCCCTCCTCCTCCTCCTCTCCTCCTCCTCGTCCTCCTCCTCGCCCTCTTGCTCCTCTTTCCCACTTTCCCCGCTCTTCGATCTCCCGGCTTCACCCCCTCCCGTCTTCGTCGTCGTTCCCGCCCCGAGCGCACGCGCCAGGCGCATGTTGGGTCCCCCCCTCTGCCCCCACATGGGTCGGCCGCTTGTAGCCCCGTGAACACGTGAGAGCACGTTCCCCGCACGCACCCGCCAGGCACATGTTGGGTTCCCCCTCCGCGCACGGATGTTGGCGTGAGAAGAATCGGCCGCACGAAGATGGGTCCCCCCCCTCTGTGGGCCGTGGACATGTGAAGTTGCCCCCCCCCACCCTCCGCGCACGCATTTCTACATGTAAAGAACCCGCCGATGTTGGTTCCCCCCTAGGGCCGTGGACACGTGAAAACACAAGCCCCGCGCGCACGCGCCCGGCGCATGTTCCTTCCCCCCCCACCCCCACCCCCTCCGCGCACTCATTCTTTCGCGCAAATTGGGTGCTCCTGGGGACCGTGGACACGTGAAAACACGAGCCCCGCGCGCACGCGCCAGACGCATGTTGGTCCCCCCCGTGCGCACGGTTCTCTACGCGAGATGAATCGGTCGCACGAAGTTGGGCCGCCCCCTGGGGGGCCCGCAAACGCACAAAGATGCCAGACGCGTGCGCGCCGAGACGCATGCTGGCGCCCCCACCTCCGCACACGTGCTTGCGTGTCAGATTCCGACGCCTGCTGCTCGATACCAATCACCATTTCGGTACAAGACCGAGAATCCGCCAACTCAAACCGAACCCCGGGCAAGAGCCCTTACGGGAAAAATGTTTCCGGCCTGTTTCCGCACGTCTTCGTCTCATGGAAATCGCTTCCCGGCCACCACGACGATCAGAACACGGCTCAGGAGAAGCCGGCGCCGAGAGGGGGTCGAAATCTTCACCCTCCCCCCTCCCTCCTTCCCCTGCTCGTCCTGCTTCATTTTCCACTCCCTGTCTCACTCCCGCGCGTGTCGGTGGGGCGGGCCGGGCGTTTCGCCTGGGACTTCCCCGCCGCTAATGACCCTGAAGCTTGAAATTTGCAGCAATTTCACGAATGGAGGGGGGTCGCTTTCAAAATTGAGCTGTCGCCTTGCCGCCACGCACATCTTGAAACAAAAACAACTTCTCGCCGATGGAGCCGGGGGCCATTGGCAAAACGTGGCGCTCGCTTCAGCGCCGCGCACGTTCGTCTTGAAAGTTCGCAGCAGATTCAAGAATGCAGAGCGGATCCTTTTCATAACTAATTCTCGCCTTAGCGCCGCGAACCCTCGTTCAAAGTTCGCAGCAGATTCGCGGATGGAGGGGGGGGGTTATCAATCTGTGGTTCTCGCCTTACCGCGGTGCAAATTATGCCTAAGACTCTGCAGCAGCTTCACGGATTGAGAGCGGGTTCCTTTTCAGAACATGGCTCTCGCCCTAGCACCACGCACATTCGTTTTGAAACTTCGCAACAGATGGGCGGATGGAGCAGGGCCGTTTTCAAAACATGGCTCTCGCCTCAGTGCCGCGCACATGCATCTTACAAGTTTGCAGCAATTTTCAAGATGCGGTTCTCGCCTCAACGCCGCGCACATTCGCCCTACAGTCGGCACCAGCTTCACGGAATGAGGGCTCCCTTTCCAAAATCCTGCCTCTGCGCCGCGCGCATTCGTTTCAATGCAACTCGAAGCAAGCCGGGCGAGTGCTCATTGTCATCACGGAGCTCTTGCCGGAGACTTTGCTAATGCTGTGGACCTGGAACTTCAACGCATGTGGCGCTGCACGGGTCCATGGCGGCAATTCTTCAAAATGGAGCTGTCGCTCGAGATCCCCTCGAAACGTATGACCAAAAAATAACCTTGTGAAGCAATGATACGGGTGGAGGGCAGCTCTTCTTCGAAAGGAAGGTATCGCTGGAAACCTCTTTTAACCGTATGTTCATTGTATCGTCGCGCTCCTGGCGGCGCGCCAGAAAGATGCAAGCCAGTTCCTTTTCAAAGTAGCGCCCCCGCCAAAGTGACATGCCCCATTGTGCTGGTCTTTCAAGCAAGCGGCACTTCTTGCAGTGAAATGGGGGACTTATGGGGCATGTGAGGCGGGGGCTTGGGATGGGAGGGTGTCTTACAGCATAGCTTATGCTTCATTGGTTTACTCTGGTCTTGCTCGTCCTCCTCCTCCTTCTCCTTCTCCTTCTGCTATTTCTGCTACTCTTATTTGTCCTTCCTCTTTCCCTCCTGCCATCTCTCTCTCTCTCTCATCCGCTTTCAGCTGCTGCTGTTCCTCGACCTCCTCCCACTTCTCCTCCGATCACCTCCTTCTGATGCTGCTGATCCTCCTCCTGCTCCTCCTGCTCCTCCTCCTGTTGCTCCTCCGCCTCCTCCTCCTCATCCCTCCTCCCTCCTCCTCCTCCTCCTCCTCCTCCTTCCCCTTCCCCTTCCTTCCTCCTCCTCCTCCTCCTCCTCCTCCTCCTCCTCCTCCTCCCTCCTCCTCCTCCTCCTCCTCCTCCTCCTCCTCCTCCTCCTCCTCCTCCTCCTCCTCCTCCCCCCCCCTTTCTCCTCCGCCTCCTGCCTCCCCAACTGCACTCCCCTCCACCCCCTGCATGCGTCAAGGGGAGATGTCGGGGACGGAGGGTTTGGGCTGCTGCTCGGCCCTTGCTGGCCAGCCCGACGCGGGCCGCCCTCTGGATCGAGGGCCGAAGCTCCAGGCTTTGCGATGTGCGAGGGCCCTCCTCGGGCCTCCCTGGGGGGCTCGCCATCGCCACGGCCGGATTCCCCCTTCGAGGTTTTTGGTCAGATCGCACGCCGGGACAGCTCCCGGGGCCGAGGTCGACTCGCGGGCCCGGGTCCCGCGGCCCGAAAGAGGTCAAGACGGCCGGCGCTTCGCCTCTTCCGGGGAACAAGTTCTGGTGTCCAAGGACTGTCAAACCACAGCTCGGGATGAAACAGTTGTCCTTGGGAAATGTGTCGATAGGTTGGGAGGGGCACGAACAGTCCAGTTCCCCCTCGTCTCTGGCCCCCCCTCTCTCCCTTCTCCTCCCTCATCTCTGTCTAGGATGCCCCCTTCCTGCTCTCGTCTCTCCTCCTCTCTCCCTCTCTCCTCTCCTCTCTCTCTCTTTCTCTCTCGTTCTCTCTGCCCGGTTTGACACTCGACTCGCGATTCGGCGAAACAGCCAGGGATTCACCACTATCTGGAGGGATGAGTAGAAGGGATCGGATGTCACTGTGGACCGAACTCTCCTAATTTGCCGCTCTCCTCTGCGTTCTCCCCTTCTTCTCGTTCTCATCATTGAGATTGTCCCCCCCGCCAGCTCTCCCTCCTCCTCCTCCTCCTCCTCCTCCTCCTCCTCCTCCTCATCCTCATCCTCCTCCTCCTCCTCCTCCTCCTAATCATCCTCCTCCCCTCCTTCAAATGCTCCCCTCCTTCACATTATCCTTCTCCTCCACCCTCAAAATCAATCCTGGTGATCCTCCTCCCCGTCTTGTTGCTGCTCCTCCTCCTCCTCCTCCTTCTCCTCCTCAGCCTCCTCCTCCTCTTCATCATCATTATCCTCCTCCTCCTCCTCCTCTTACTCCTCTTCCTCCTCCTCCTCCTCCTCTTGCTTCTCCTCCTCCTCCTCCTCCTCCTCCTCCTCCTCTCCCTTCTTTTCCTGCCTCCGCGCAAGATTCGTGGGCATGGGGCAAACGCCTGACCGTCTCCTCGAACATCTGCTCCTCGGGGAAAGAAGAAAGCAAATGTGACGGGGGGGGGGGCCGACGTCTGTCATCCTGCCTGGGCTTTCCGGGGCACCCTCGTCGCCACGGCCTGATCTGTTCCAGAATCCATGTCGGAAGGCGCTCCAGGACAGGTCAAGGGTTAAGGGCCTAGGGGTCGACTTTGAAAGAGGAGGGCGAAGGTGGATGGGGCAGAGTCGGGCCCAGTCGAGTTCGGCAGCCATCTACCAGAGTGCCTCAAGCGGCCCTGGGCGGCGCTGCAGCAACGCTTTTCAAAGAGGACGCTGGTGGGGTGCGCTCATGGGCCGCCGCCCCACCCGCCAAGAACAACGTGGGGAAGTTGATCATGATAATGGGGGTAATGCTGCTGATGATGCTGATGGGCCTGATGATGATAGTGATGAGGATGATGATGAGGATGATGATGAGGATGATGCTGATGCTGATGCTACTGACTCTGATGATGGCGAACATGATGCGTATACTGATGATGACGACGACGACGATGGTATCAATAATGCTGATACTGATGATGATGCCGACGATGATGATGCTGATGCTGATGATGATGCTGCTGCGGATGCTGACACTGATGATGAAGAAGGTGATGCTGCATATTAATATGAAGGTGAAGATGGGGAGGCTGATGATGATGATGATGATGGTGGTGATGATTATGATACTGATGATGATGGTGATGATGATGATGACGATGATGATGGCGATGACGATCATGCTGATGATGACGGCGATGGTGATGATACTGATGATGATGTTGATGATGAGGACGATGATGATGACGATGATGATGATGATGATGATGATGATGATGATGATGATAAGGAGGAGGAGGAGGATGATGATGATGATGATGATGGTGATGATGATGATGATGATGCTGATGATGATGATGACTCAACCTCGGGTGTTCGCGCATCTCCGATAGCGGAGATCGCTCGACATCGGCCGATTCTTGGCCACTAACGGCGTTCAACCTGAAGCGGAAGGCGTGTCGCTACGCTTCGCGACACGGCAGGCCAGAAAAATCTAGGCACGCTGCCTCTTGGGGACTGGGTCGTGATCAGCCTGCCTCGCCGAAGCGTGGTGGGTCAGAACCTAACGGCGCGACACGCCGAGCACGCGCCCCTGGCCGCGTGCTGTGTTCTCTCGCTCGAGCACGCTCCTTGCTCTCGGAGCTGAAGTTCAGGATGTCGTAGCCGCCCCCGATGCGCACGCCGAGCGTGTTGTCCCCGCCGACCGCGGGGCTGCGGCTGCGGCGGCGCGCCAGCGGAGTGCACAGCGGGCACAGGTCCCCCGGGGCCGCCACCTCCGGAGGGCCAGACCTCTCCCCAGGCGCAGCGGCCAGCCAGCGAAAGGCCGCTCCTCCCTCCTTCCTCCGCCTCCCTCCTGCCTCCCTCCTCGTACTCCTGCTCGCTCCTCCTCCTTCCCTCCACCCTCCCTCCTCCCCCCTGCCTCCCCCTCCTCAACAAGTGCTCCGCAGTTGCACACGTTAGCCAGCGCGGGCCACAAAGAGTGTGTTCCTAACAATATACGTGGTGCTATCTATTATGTACATTATATGTGGTGTGACCTGTGCGTTGCAACCTATGTGGTGGTGCAATACACGTTACGCTGCATGTGTGGTGAAATCTACTTGGTGCACTAAAATATGCTGTGCAATCTATGTTGTGAGAGATCGATCAAAAAGCGCGCCGCAGGTGCCAAAACCACATCGTGCTCCATATGTGCTGCAATCTAGGTGGGTCAAGTCAATCTGTGTGGTGCAATCTATGCGGTGCAATCTATGCAGCGCAATCTATGTGGTGCAATCTATGTGGTGGAATTCACTTTGACCGTCGTGAAACTGTCCTCTCTACTGCTCGTGCAAACATCCCACCCTCCCACCCGCAACTTGGTCGCAAGACTTCTTAAGACAAGACCGTGACGGTAGGTACCACATGGCACTTGGCCACGACACCGACGCCGACGACGACAACGACGACGACGACGACGGCGCCGCAGACACCGACTACGACGACACCGCCGACGTCGACGTCGACGAAGACGACGACGACGCCGACGACGACGACGAAGACGACGACGACGTCGCCAACGGAGACGACGACGAGGGAGGAGAAAAAACGACGACGGCGACAACGACGACAACGACGATGGAGGAGGGAAGACGGCGACGACGCGAACGACGAAGGAGGAGGAAGGACGGCGACGCCGACGACGACAACGACGAGGGAGGAGGGGAGACGACGACGACAACGACGACGAAGACGACGACGACAGCGACGAAATAGGAGGGACGACGACAAGACGCCGACGACGGACGACGACGACGACGAGGGAGGAGGATAACGACGAGGGAGGAGTGAAGACCACGACGACGACAACAACGACGACGACGGCGACGAAATAGGATCGACAACGACGAGACGCCGACGAAGACGACGAGGGAGGAAGGACGACCACGGCGACAACGACGACGGAAACGACGACGACGCCAAGACGACGACGACGACGAGGAAAGACAGAAGACGACGACGGCGACGACGACGACGACGACGACGACGACGACGAGGGAGGAGGGAGGACGACGACGACGACGACGACGACACAAGAGCGCGCGCGCACGCTTTTGTTGAAAACCCGTGTTGCGAAACCTTGTGTTTTTGTATGTTTTTTGGACACACGATATTGGAATCCTTCCGAAACCGAAGGTTTTGAAGGATTTCGGTATACGCGCGGGACTTCGCGCGCGTCTGCACTTCGTCCCATTGTTTGCAGAGGATTCTCGCGACGGCACACGCGCAAGGGCGTTCGACAGATTTCGACATGCGCGCGCGAAGCCCGTTTGGTAGCATTTTGTGGAAATCTTGAAAACTATGGTTTTCTTAAGATTTCGCAAGAGCTCGCGCGTAAGCTTTTTTAGCAAATCAGTGTTGCGAAACCCTGTGTTTTTGTATGTTGTGTGGACATTCAATTTTGAAATCTCTCCGGAACCGAGGGTGTTTGAAGGATTTCGGCATGCGCGCGCGACGACGCGCGCGTGTGCACTTCGTCCAATTTTGTTGCAAGGGATTCGCGAAAAAGTCTTATGCTAGAACAACAACTGTCACCGCATAGTGTTTTTTCACAAAAGAACCTCAAGGGGGGGAACCCGGTTTGGCTGGGATGTTATGATTTCATATTTAGGATGGACGAGTGTGCAGAATATATATATGAAATCATACTATCCCAGGGGGAACCGATAAGTCCGGGGGGGGAGGGGGTAGAATCTATTAATCTTTTAGAAAGGAGAATTAAGTTCTGTTCGCAGTGAGTTGTCCACTCCATTGCTCGCGCGAACATCCCACCCACCCACCCTCAACATGGCTTGCAAAACCTCTTGAGACCGTGACGGTGGGTACCAAATGGCACTTGGCAACGACACTGACGCCGACGACGACAGCGACAACGACGACGACGACGCCGCCGACAACGACTACGACGACACCGACGACGTCTCCGACGACTTCGACGACGCCGACAACGACAACGACGACGACGAAGACACCGACGACGACGACGACTACGACGCCGCCGACGACGACGACGACGATGACAACGACGACGACGACGCCGACGACGACGCCGACGACGACGACGAAGACGACGACGACGTCGCTGGCGAAGACGACGACGAGGGAAGAGGGAGGACGACGGCGGCGGCAACGACGACAACGACGAGGGAGGAGGGAGGACGGTGACGACGCGAACGACGAAGAAGGAGGGAGGACGCCGACGCCGACGACGACAACGACGAGGGAGGATTGAAGACGACGACGACGACGACGACGACGGCGACGAAATAGGAGGGACAACGACGAAACGCCGACGACGACGACGAGGGAGGAAGGACGACCACGGCGACAACGACGACGGAAACGACGACGACGCCAAGACGACGACGACGAGGAAAGACAGAGGACGACGACGGCGACGACAACGATGACGACGACGAGGGAGGAGGGAGGACGGCGACGACGACGACGACGACGCAAGAACGTGCGCGCACGCTTTTGTTGAACATCCGTGTTGCGAAACCATGTGTTTTCGAATGTTTTTTGACACTCGATTTTGAAATCCTTCCGAAACCGATGGTTTTTTTTGTTTTTTAAAGATTTTGGCATGTGCGCGCGACGATGCGCACGTGTGCACTTCGTCATATTTTTGTAGAGGATTCTCGCGACGGCACGCGCGCAAGGGCGTTCGAAAGATTTCGACATGCGCGCGCGCGAAGCCCGTTTGGTAGCATGTCTTGTAAATCTTGAAAGCCGATGGTTTTCTCAAGATTTCGCAAGAGCGCGCGCGTAAGTCTTTTAGCAAATCAGTGTTGCGAATCCCTGTGTTTTTGAATGTGTTTTGGGAACTCGATTTTGAAATCCTTCCGAAATCAAAAGTTTTTGAAGGATTTGGGCATGCGCGCGCGACGACGCGCGCGTGTGCACTTCGTCCCATGTTTTGCAAGGGATCCTTGAAAACTTATGATTTTTGATCAACGACAGTGCGCGCATCGTGTTTTTTGCAAAGGATGGCGGGGGGGGGGCGATACTGGCTTGGCTGGGATAGTATGAATTCATATTTATGATGGACGAGTGTGCAGAATCATATGCAAATTTCAATACGAAAAGGTGGCCCGTTAACCCGGGGGGGGGTAGAGTCTATTCTTCTTTAGAAAGGAGAATAGATACATGTTGTGCAGTCGATGTGGTTGTGCAATCCGCCAACCCCCCTTGCAGGAGGTGAGAAGGCGTGTGAGATGATTGGCTGTCCCCCTCCCCCGTCTCCCCTCCCCCAGGGCCATAAATCCTGTTGAAGGTGGCGGGGGGGTGGTATCCGGTCCCTTTCGCACCCCCGGAGGCTCCAGAGCTTCCAAATCTGCTCCCGTGGGCTCAACGACGTTCCAAGACGGCTCCAAATCGCGGAACGATTGGCCCAAGACGCCTACGATGGCTCCAAGATGCCCCAAGACGCCTTCGAGACGCCCCAAGACGCCTTCCCAAGAGGGCCCCGAGAAGCAAAACTATATGGGTTTCATTTTTTGTTGTTCTCCTTTCTGGGGTGATCGTCTTCGCGAGTTTGCGACGCTCCAAGGCGGCCCAAGATGCCCCATAGACCGCTCCCAAACTGCCCAAGAGGCCCCAACGAGGACCCCAGGCCGCCCCCAGAGGGCTCCAAGACGGCCCAAAGAGGGGCCCAAGACTGCCAAGGATCGCCCCAAGAGGGCCCCAAGAGAGACGAAGAGGGACAACACGAACCGAGCATCCTAACTTTCCGACCCAAGAAGCCCCCCGAAGGCCGCAAAAAGCCCCCGCCCCAAGCGGCCCAACAGGGGCCACCAATAAGCCCCAAGAGGCCCCCAAGATTCCCAAACGAGGCCCCCAACACTCCTCTTCAAAACTGCTTCCAAAAGGCTCCGCCAGGCCCCCAAACAGCTCCCAAGACGCCCACAATAATCCCCACATCGTGCCGCCCACGACGACTCAAACGTAGACTCCACGCCTCTTCTGGGGGTCAGCGGAATGGCGCAGGCCTTTTTGATTATATGATGTGACATCAATGTCGTGCAACCTATGTTGCGGGATGTCTGTGGTGCAGTTGATGCGGTTGTGCTAGAAATCGTGTCAAGTATATGTGGTGCAATCTATGTAGCGCCACATATGTAGGCAACCTATACTGTGAGCGGTCCAGAACCATGCCGCAGGCCCGATTTTTTTCGTGCGCTCGACGGGCGGCGACGATGCGGCGACGGGGCGGCGACGGCGGCCACACATAGCCGCCAGACCAGCCACACGCCCCAAACGTCGGGCGGCGATAAGGCGGCGACGGGGCGGCGACGGCGAGTACATAGCCGCCAGACCGCCCACACAAACTAGTCCCTTAGAGCACAACTCAGACAACCTAGATGCAAAACTGTTCCAAGAATTGTGAATACCACTCTTCTCCCTCCCTTGACTCTGTCCGGAAGATCCCCGGCCCTCTCCGCGTACTTTTTCCTACAACGCATGCTCCCAATATGATTGCAACGCGTGTTTCACTTTCGGGTCGACGCGTTGCTCTCGTCGTTCAGAATGGCGCTCTCGCCCCAGCGCGGGCCACATTTCTGGATCCAGGTCCATTCTCATCGTTATCGTCCCCCTCAGTTCCCCTCCTCCCTCTTACCCTGGTCCTCATACTCCTTTCACTCACTCCATTCCAGTTCCTGCTGCTTACGTTCGTCCTCGTCCTCCTCCTTCCGCATCCTCCTCTATGTCCTCCTGCTCATCCTCTTGCTCACCCGCCACCAGCTCCTCCATGTATACAGCTTCTCTTTTCCGATTGCGCGAACCACGATGGGGTCTTTTTGCTGGAGTTCCAGGTCGGCTATGACACGCGTCCGCGGATAGAGAATTACCTTGTGACGTACCTGGCCCATTTGCATCAAGTGACAAGAGGCGTTGTCCCAAACTTGCCAGGACAATGACAGTGCAGGCGCCATCGCATGTTGTGCAATCTACATGGCATGTGATCACGTGGCACGATTCACAAGACAACAACAGAAGGACGAGGAGCGAAGGCCCAGGTGCGAGGAGGACATGGGGGAGGGAACGAAGAGCAAGAACAGGACGCGCGGGGGGCCGAACCGCCAGCGCGGCAGCAGCGAAAGGAAAGTGGCAAGGGGAAGAGGACGATGACGAAAGTGACGGGATGAGACCGAATAGTGTTGTTGTTGTTGTCGGTAATACGCCGAAGATGCGGCGTTGCTTGCGCCATGTCGCCATGTCGCCGCGGCGTTCGAAACAAATATGGTTGCACCTGCTTATCATTGATGCAAGGGTCGAGCGAGGCCCAGCTCGCCCGCCAGCTTCCCTCGAGGATGGCAAGGTCTCTTGGTGGTCCGCGTAGGACGTCACTCCGCTAGGCCCCCCCAGCAGCCCTCGAAAGTGGAGACAATTTCGCAGATCGCAATCCCCCCAGGGATGGCGAGACCTCATTTGAATCAGGGTAAGACGTCACTCGACAGGACCCCCCCCAGCAGCCCTCGACAGTGGCGACAGTTTCGCAGATCGCAACTCCCCCATGGATGCCGAGGTCTCATCTGAATCTGGGTAAGACGTCACTCCGCAGGACCCCCCAAGCAGCCCTCGGAAGTGGCGACAATTTCGCAGATCGCAACCTGCCAAGATTGGCGAGGTCTCATTTGAATTTCGGTAAGACGTCACTCCGCTGGACCCCCCCAGCAGCCCTCGAAAGTGGCGGCAATTTCGCAGATCGCAGCCCCCCAGCATTGGCGAGGTCCCCTGGTGATCCGCGTAGGACGTCACTCCGCTGTGGCGACAGTTTCGCAGATCGCAGTCCCCCGGTGATGGCCAGGTAGGTGGCCAGCTTGCACGCAGGAAGGAGCGAGGTGAGAGGCATGAGAGAAGGGGAAAGGGGACGGGAAGCAAGCAGGAGGCGGGAAGGAGGGAGGCGGGCGGGAGGTTTGCGACCGCAGCGCTCTGTTCAAAACGAGGAAGCCCAATGCAGGAGGGTGTGGGCAACAAAACAGCGCAATGGGAAGGGATGAGAGGGAGGGGCAGGATATCAGATGTCGCGCGAGCGCACCTAGCTTGATGAAAGCTGCTCTCCTCTCTCGCAATATCCTGTCCGAGTGAGGCAACTTTTCTCCCGCATACGGTGCGGGCGCGGCCGTAAGAAACCCTCGCAAGAACCCAACCCAGAAAATCCGCGCGCGAGGTGCACCTGAGGGGAAGCCATGAGCACCCTGAACGCAGCAGCTTCTTCTCCCACGGCTGCGGGAAGTCTCCGCGCCGCGCGCGGAGCGAAAAAACCCAGGACACCCTGACGAGAAGCATATGGTTTCTTGATGCGCGCCCCCACTGTACGATTTTTCCCCACTTCGGATTTCCAAACGAGATCTTACCAAAGGATGGTTCGCCTGCGCTGGCCTGCCCTGCCCGGATTCCCTGGGTTCCTTGGCCTTGTTTCCTCACGGTTTTCATGAAGCCGTGCCTGGATTCTCGGGATTCCCCCGGGCAATTCAAAGCAAGGCAGAACAAAACGACACCAAACAAAACAAAACAATCTAAAACAATGTCAACCAATGCCCAGCATTGAAAAGCAATGCCGGAATGCCAAGCAGTGCCCAGCAAGGCAAAGCATAGCAACGCAATGCCAGTCAATGCCCAACAATGCGAGGCGATGCACATACATTCGAAGCAATACACGAAGTACTTCCAAGCAGTGCAATGCAATGCGAGGCAATGTCAAAGAACGCTAAGCAATGCTAGTCGATACCAACGAACGCGAAGCAATGCGAAGCAAACAATGCCAACCAATGCGACGCAACGCCAATCAACACAAAGCAATGCAAAGCAATGTCAAGCCAAGCCATGCAATGTAAAGCCATGCAAACCAATGCGAGGCAATGACCAGCAACGCCATGCACTGCCAAGCAATGTACAGCAATGACCAGCATTGCCGAGCGATGCCGTGCGATGCCAATCACCTCTGAGAAATGCAAACGAATGCCAAGAACGGCAGAGCAATGCTAACCTATGCCAAGCAACGCCAGGCAATGCACCACAATGCCAACCATGGCAACGCAACGCAAGTCAATGCCAAGCGATGCCACGAAACGCAACTCAATGCAACACAATGTCAAGCATTACCAGGCAATGCCAAGCATTTCCAGGCAATGCAAAGCAATGTCAAGCAATGCTGAACAATCACAGGCAAACATACCAAGCAATGCAAAGCAGATCAAGTCAATGCCAAGCAATGCCACGCACCACCAAACAATGTCATCCGATGCCACGCCATGCGACGCAACTACTTCCTTCCTTGCGTAATTCCTCGCTTTAGGCGGCTCCCCCTCATTAGGATCTCGCTGGCATCATGTCATAGCGTCAAAGACGTCGGGAGGTGTTTGAAACCATCTTTCCGCACGCACCCGGTAGCTGCACGCAGGAACCATTACGGATACTTCGCCCACAAATGAATGGGGTTTCCGGCTGTTCGCCACGCTGCCGCCCGTGCCGCCTCGTGGGCGCCCCGAGCGCTGGGTGGGCTCCTCGAGGCTGCTCCACGCTGCCGCCCGCGTCCCCTCGCGGGCGCCCCGTGCGCCGTGGCTTCGCCGAGGCTGCGCGCTGCCGCCCGGGGCCGCCTCGTGGGCGCCCCGTGGGCGCCACGTGCTCCGGGCCTACACCCCATAGCGTTCACCTCCACGTCACGCCGCACAACTTACACACGAGATAGCTTGCACCGCAGTTTCCTCAGCATCGTTGTCACCTCCATCGCTCGCATCACACATCTTTTACGACGTAGCTTTCACCACGTAGCGCACAAGCGTAGCATTCACCTCCACAGTGCAATACAGTGGAGGCTAGTCCACAAGAAACCTTCCAAGAGAATTCCAACCCTGAGACCCCAGGACGTCTATCGATTTTTGGTGTGGGAACGTCACGCTGTCCACAGCAGAACCATCGAAACCCAAGAAACCGAGGGCACCCTGGAGGCGAGCAGGGTGTTTCTTGGCATGGGCCTCCACTGTAACACACTGTTTGGGGCCCACGCTAGTTAGCATTCAATCGGAGCGTTTGTGGCGTTTCGGAATGGTGTCCACATTGCAACGTTGGCATCGTTTTAGGGTCAATGCTTCGCTCCCGTCGCTCAGAATGGCGCCCTCGCCCCAGCGTGGGCCACACTTCTGGATCCGGGTCTTCCTCGTCGCTGTCGCCGCTCTCCTATCCCCTCCTCCGCCTTCCACCGGTCCTCCTTCTCCCCCCGTTTTTCCTCCTTCCTGCCCCCTCTGCTTCTCCTCATCCTCCACCTTCCTCATCCTCATCCTTATCCTGATCCTCATCCTCATCGTCATCCTCCTGCCCATCCTCTTGCCAATCCGCCACCCGCTCCTCTTCCTCGGATGTATACAATTCCCCCTGTCTGCCCGCGCGTGGCGCGACGGAATCCTTTGGGGAGCGCCAGGTCCGTACGCTACGGCACCCGCCGGCGGGGATCATCAAAATCAGCGCAGTGGGATGGGGGATGGGCGGGAGGGGTAGAATGTCCAATGTGCCGCGAGCACTCCTGGCGTGTCCCTCCCCCTCACCCTCCTTCTTCGCACTGTTCATGCTGACCAAGCTGCCGAGCGCACTCTTCCCACACGGATCAGGCAACTCCCTGGCCCTGTTGTAGGTGCCTGTGAAGGGCGAGCTTTGAGGGTGGATTCCAACATCGTTGATGAGCTTTGGGTTTGCATTTGTCCTCCTCCTGCTCCTCCTCCTCCTCCTCCTTCCTTCCTCCTCCTCCTCCTCACCCTCCTCCTCTCACTCGTTCTCCTCCTCCTCCTCATCATCCTATTCCTCCTCCTCCTCCTCTTTCTCCTCCTCCTCCGTCTCCTCCTCCTCCTCCTCATCCTTCTTCTCCTCCTCCTCCTCCCTCTCTCTCTCACTCTCACTCTCTCTCTCTCTCACTCTATCTCTTTCTCTCTCTCTCTCTATAGATACATGTAGATATCCCTCTCTCCCTCTCTCCCTGTCTCTCCTGCCTGCCATCCCTCTTCGCCCCAGGCATTCACTTCTGGAAGACCAGGACAGGCAAGACAGAGAGAGAGGGAGAGTCGGCGGCGAGCGAGGGGGGAAGTGAGAAGGATCATGCCCTTTGAAAGGCGGCAGGGCTTCTCACAAGCACCCCCGGCCTTCTGAGAATTTGTCTGTGTCTTCGGGGAAGGCTTAGGAAACTTCTCGAAAGGCCGGGGGACTTCCGATCTTTCTGGTAAAGCCTTTTCCTTCTCACTTCCTCCTCTCGCGCGCCGCCGAGAGAGAGAAAGAGAGAGAAAGAGAGAAAGAGAGAGAGAGAGAGAAAAAAAATAAAAGAGAAAGAGAGAGAGAGAGAGAGAGAAAGAGAGATAGAGAGAAAGAGAGAGAGGGAGAAATCGACGCGGGGCGCACGGACTTCTCGGCCTTCCACACGGGGCAAAATGCTTCCGACGCCCTCCAATGCAGCCAGCCAGCCGTACACCCCCCAGATGAATGGGAGGGGGGGAGGAGGAGGCGGAGGTTCGAGATACGGAGGAGAGAGACGGGGAGGAGGCTGTGGGGGGAGGCGGAGGAGAAGGATGAACGATCCCCAACCGACCCCCCGGTGCGACTGCAGTAGAGACGCTGTTGTCGAGCAGTCCTGGGTCCTAGGTCGGCGCTGCAGAGTCCGTATTCTCTGCTCTTCATTCTCGCCCCCCCGCGGGCCTCGACGATCTGGCACTTGCGACAGAACACCTTGTCCTGCAGAGAAGGTCCACAAGGGGAACACATCCGCCACCGTGCCTCCAGCAGATCGGGGCGTGTTAGAATGCTCCTCTGTTGTCTGGTGGGGTTTCTGTGTGGTTCCTTAGGCCGACCCCCCCCCGCCCTCACCCCGCGCCTCAGAACATCGGTCTTCCTGGTGCTGCGTCCCGGGCTCCATTTTGCCATCCAGGCGGCTCCAGCAGAGCCAAAGACTGCCCCGAGAATACTGCACGACCCTCCGAGATAATAACAAGCATGGCCGAACGAGCCTCAAACGGCTACAAGATTTCGCCCACGCTGCCCCATGAGGGCCATTCTTCACGACGACACCAAGAGGCGACCGATTGGCCCTCCAGCGAGGCCCTCAGACCTAGAAGCTCCCAAGACCAAGACGGCTCCAAGAGCGCCCTCAGACAGCCCCTGGGGCACACTTCTCGGCTTCCAGACGGCCCCACGACAGCCAAAGACCGCCCTAACTCAGCAGCAAGACGCCGCATGACCATCCAAAGACCAGACGGGCCTCCGACGGGACTTAGGCGGGGCGAACAGGGCCATCCAGAAGGTGGGCCGTCGAAAGGGTGCATGGAACGGCTTTCGGGGAGGCGTTCCAAGATTTCTGGAACGCCTTTCCGCCCAGCGTTCGGAGCAGTTCGGTCGCCTCGGCCCACGGCCCGCTACCGCGTCGACATGGAGACACCTCGAAGCGGGATCAGGCCGCACGAGTGAAGCCAAATTGTCTGCGAGGGGCAGCCTTGGAATTGCTGTTCTGCCACCCTCTCTCCTTCTCGTCCTAGGTGTGCCCGTCGACCGCCGCGCCCTTTCTGTGGCGCCGAAGTGGCCACTTCGCCTGGTCTGCCCCGTGCACGCTCCCGTGCTGGCCCTCCCCCTGCCTCCGCCCACCGCGCAGCCCCTTGCCCCCTCCGCCGCCACCTCCCCTTTTCTCCCTTCACTCCCCTTTTCGCCCCGCGTCGTCGTCGTCGTCGTCGTCGTCGTCGTCGTCGCCCCGCGTCCCACACCAGTGTCGTTCAGCGCCTCACTGATGCTAGCCCGCTACTTACATCTGCCAACCGCGCCCATTTTCTCTCGCACTCTGCCTCCCTCATCCCTCCCCCCCCCCTCCCCCTCCCTTCCCCCAGCTCCCCTGTCCTATTTCGCCTTCCCCCGTCCCCTTCCCCTTCCCTCCCTCCATTTGCCCCTTTCTTCCAACCTCGTGCTCTCCCGCTCCCACCCCTCCCCATTCCCTCCGCCGCCAGCCCTTCCCGAACGCTGTTCCGGGAAGGCGCGCAGCCCTTCCCGAACGCTGTTCCGCGGAGGCCGAATGCAGGCCCCAAGTGGGCCATCCGTCCGGCTGATGCTCCGAGGCCCCAAGTGGGCCATCCACCCGGCTCCTGGAGGCCGCCCCCCCCGAGGCCCCAAGTGGGCCATCCATCCGGCTCATGCACGCCCCCGACCCTCGCACGCCCTGCGCGCAACCCCCTCGCCGCCCCCAGGCCCCAAGTGGGCCATCCACCCGGCTCATGGAACATCACACCGGGGCACCCAGTACCCCTGCACTGGTCCAGGGCCCCAAGTGGGCCATCCGTCCGGCTGATGCTCCGAGGCCCCAAGTGGGCCATCCACCCGGCTCATGGAACCCCTTCCCAGAGCTCCCTCGGAAAGGCGTTCCGCGCCTCGGGGGAAGGGTACTCGCGCGCCTGGCCGCCTTGGCTCCCGCGACCCAGGGCGCCCTTGCACCGATCCCAAACCACCCCGCCTCTCCCTCCCCTTCTCCTGCTCCCATGCCTCCCTCCATCCCTCCCTCCCGCCAGCATTCCTGCCCTCTCGCCCCGCACCTCGTCGTCCCTTTTCTCCCTTTTCGCCCCGCGTCGTCGTCGTCCTCCTCCTCCTCCTCCTCCTCCTCCTCACATGTCCTCATCCTTCCGCCCCCCCTCCTTCCTCCTCCATCATCCTCCGCAATCCTGCTCCCGCCCTCCTCCCTCATCGTCCTCCATGCTCATCCTTATGAACCTCCTTTTCCTCCTCCTCCCTCATTCATCCCATTATCACCTCTCCCTCCTCCTCCTTCTCCTCCTTCTCCTCCTCCTCCCCTCCTCCTCCCCCTTTTTTTGACAACCCAACGTCGAGGCGAGTGCACCGCGTCTAGAAGGGCAGCAGTACAGGTGTGGAGGACACTGAGAAAACATGAAGGGAGAAGAGATCGAAAGCCAGTGGGACCATTAAATACGCAAGAGAAGTGGAGACAGTCGAGAGGGCCCAGGGCTGTCTAGCTGGCAGGAGCTGATTCCAGCAAAGATGGTTGAGGGACGAGGTGAAAGTGGACGGCCGAGCCATCCGCAATCCCAGCTGTGATTTCTCGCACCACCGCGCTTCCATCCACCCGATGAACGGCCCACTTGTTCATCCACCCCCTGGATGGCCCAGTTCGCCCCCTCCAAGGGACGTCAAGAGGCTCCCGAGAGGGCTCCAAGATGCCGCAACAACAGGCCCTCGGGAGCCCCCCAAGAAGCACCTACTATGCTTTCGAAAAAGTTGGGGACGAAGCAAGAACAAATTATGAAAGCCAGGCAGAGGACAACGAGGGGGTGTTCAAGATCCGCGCTAATTCAAATCAAGCGCTGAACTTGAGCGGGTCTTAAACTCGATCTCTGCTGCGCTGGCACGGTGGCGGTATATCAATTATGCAGGTGCATGAATCGATGACAATATAAAACCAGATAGAGCCATAACCTTTCGGAAGGTCACTCGCGTCGGCGCTGGATCCGCCTCCCCATCACCCCTTCCCGGCGCGCGGCGCACACCGGCTAAGGAGTCGGTGCATAACTCCGAACGTGCAATCTTTGGTAGCGTTATGGAAGGGACGGCGGCGCGCTCCAATGAGACCAACGGAGAGCGAACCCCACCAGCCCTCTGGGTCTAGGTAGTTTAGCGAGTTAGATGTTCGAACCTCCTTTCTCTCTTACCCCCTGTCGCTTACCCCCTCTCCCTTCTCCCTGCCCCCTCAACCTGGGTCTATACGGGCCTGGTTGCGAGAGATTAGAGCGTCCAAGATGGCCCAAAGATGGCCCGAGATCCCGAGATAGCCCGAGAGGCCTGCAAGATCGCACAAGATAGCCCAATATGGCTCAATCTAGCTTCCAACCTGCCTCCCAGAGGCGCCACGACCGTCCTAAGATGGCTCCAAGTGGCCACGGAGCCTCCCAAGGACACCCCCGAGAGACCCAAATCCTTTCCAAACCCACAGACAATCAATGTGTTTGTGCTCTCGTCTTTTAGATTCCGGTGGGCTCCTAAGGCCTCAGGATGGCCTCAAGATGGCTCATGCGGGGCGCCAGCGGACGTGCTGGTCGGCAGCGCCCGGCGCACGACCACCGATCACTGATCGAGGAGCGCCGGAGCCTGGATCCCCCGAAATCCAGTCGGGCGAGGGCTTGTATGGAGGAGGAAAAGGAGGAGGAGGCGGAGGAGGAGAAGGGTGAGACTACGAGACCTTCCAAATCAACAGCCACGTAAATCCCGAGACAAACTGTGGCTTCCACTCACCCAGCGGGCCGCCACTTGCTCCTACAGCTGCCCACTTCCCGCCTCACCAACCTTCACCTCCAAAGCCCTTGTGAATGAAGTGGGGGGAACGAGCGATCGATACCTGGGCTGCTGGAGACTCTCCCGTGGAACACCTGCTAGGTGTGCTGTACCACTATAGGCGTCAGGCGCTGCTGGACGCTGCTACGAAACACGAAGATCACGAGAGGAGGACGATAACATCTCCACGCTTCCGCTGTGCACCCCCCCCGACGTCCTTGCACTTCGGGCACACGTCGCCCTCCAGCGGCACGGGCAGCGAGCCGCACTTCGGGCAGATCCGCGGGTCCGTCTGTGTGAACCTGCTGTCGAAGAGCCACCTGACCTCACGATCGGCCAACATATGCATCTGCACGCCCTCGCGGTCTGGATCCCGGAAGCGCGATTCCGCGATATAACTGTGTTTTATGTGTACGCGATAACGGCTGTTACCAGCCCTGGCCACTCCCCCGCCGAGGTAACGTCACGATTCGTGCCGACCTCCGAATTGTTTCTGGCTATTCCTAGACGTTCCCAGACGGCGCCAGCGCGACACATGACGTGATCAGCCCCCTCCACCCCCCAGCAACGCCCGTCACATCCTGGGAATGAAGACGGCTGGTTCTCCATGGATGCGCGGTCGTACGCATACGCTCCGTGCAGGGCATACGCAAACACACGCGCCCGGCCAGGGGACCCGGCCCGCGCAGGCCGCGGCTGCAGATGCGCTTTCCGCCTGGGATGACCTGCGACCCCACGTCGAACGTGTCGGGACCGGCGGCCTGGACGGCAGCACTCCGCGTCCTGGTCCTGCAGCTCGCGCGCACCAGGGGGTGCCGCACGGGCGGGGGGCCTCTGAGAAAGCGGCGGGGCTTCGTAGAGGGCAGAGGCCTTCTTGGAAGCCCGCCCGGTTTCTCAGAAACCGTCCTGGGGAAACCAGCAGATACCAATGCCGCTACTCCCAGACCTCAACCTCGAGGCGGATCCACCGGTGGCGACGAGGGGCTCCCAGGAGGCCACAAAAAGCGAAAACGAGCCAACCTGAGATGCGACCTCGTGAAACACAAATGCACAATTGACTGGAGCCCTGGACCCCATCTTTCTGCTGATGTTTTCGAGCCAGATCGAGGCGTGATGCTCCCGGGGCCTGAAACTGGGAGACAAATGCCCAGCGTGAAAAAACATTCAATGCCCTTTTCCTCCTCTGAGGTCCTGCAACTCGCGCACACCTGTCGGAGAGGCGCAAGGCTCGGGTTCGGTGGACCTCGGGTTGACTTGACGGGTCCGTCAAGAAACTGACGACATCCAGTCTGAAGTTCGACGCGAACTCTCGCTGCAGACGTCCCACAATGACTGCACCGTCAAAATTCAGGATGGGCCCGTCAAAATGTCGAGTCTTTGGAGGTAGCCCAGATGGGGTCCGAGTCGGTGGTGTCAGATCATCGCCAATGCATCGCCGATGCATCGGCGATGCATCGGCGCCGTCGTCGTGGAGGAAATCGGGATCCACATCGACCGCATCGCCGATGCATCGACGATGCGGTGCGATCCTCCGACACCATCTACTCCGACCCAATCTGGGAAGCTCATAGATCTACCCTAGAACATGAACAAATCGTGGACGAACCGACCCTTGTCTCCAACCATGTACTTCGCCGAACGCAACGGCCGCGTTGTCTAGAGACATGTCCACCCCGAATGTGCCCTTGTACGCAGCGACACCCAATGAGACCTTAGAATTTTGTGGCCAGAGAAAGGAAAACGGTATTTGGCACAGGCCGGAGCAAGCACATAAACATTGCCCACAAAGTCTTGCGTATTCCCGCACACCGTCTGCGGCAAGAGCCGACGCTAATCGACGCTAGCACGAAGCTAGTCGACGCAGTCGACGCCAAATCAGCACTATCTCATCGATCACCAGTCGCTGATCGTCGCAAACGCACTCGAAAAGACGGAACGACGAGGGCACACAAGGCTCCCACGATTTGCCCTCGAACTGGACACCGTCATGGGCGAACACACATACCCTCTGCGGTCTCGCAGGCCAAGCCCCTGGGCCGCGACCCTGCGGGCATAGGGCGTTGTTTCACGGATGCCCCGCGCGGGACATATCCGTGCCCGCGGGGCCGCGCCCTTGAATCCAGACCGCGAGGGCGCGGATACCCGTCGGCCGGAAGAAGTGGGTAGAACCATGGAGCAGGAAAGCGTTGGAAGTAGATTGGGCTTCCGCCCGCCCCCCGCAGAGGAGAGGAGATGGACCACCGCTCGACTCTTGAAGCAGGGAGGCGCCTACAGCAGATTGGGATCTGGGGCATCCCAATATGCCTACTCTCGACGGCGGGCGTGCACGTAGAGGTTCGCCGCTCGCGACACCTTAAAACAGGGCCAGGATCGGGATAAATCGCTCCAGAGCGTTCCGGAGCGCTCTCAGAGCGTCCCGGAACGCTCTGGAGCGGCCGCGGCGCCCAATACATCCTCCAAACCCGCCGATTATCAGAGATTTCGAGTTGTCCCGATCCGATTTTGTCCCGATCTTCGCGTCGTTTGACACCTGCCCCTGCTGCGGCACGAGCCGCTGCTCGCACTGGCAGCACACCGGCCGCGCGGCGCAGCCGCTGCAGACCGCCCCCTGCTCGAGCACGGCGCTGGCGCCGCACGCGCCGCAGCGGGCCTCCGCCTGCGCCTCCAGAGGGTCAGGCTCGGCGGCGAGCGAGGGGGGAACGCGTGAACGTGAGAAGGCGAAGGCCTCCTCAGAAGGCGGCGGGGCTTCTAAAAGCCTCCCCGGCCTGAGAAGGCCTGGGGATTCCCGAACCTTCTGAGAAGGCCTTCTCCTTGCAACTTCCCCCCCCCCCCGGGCCCGCCGCCGACAGACACAGCCACACCACGGGCGTCTCGAAAGAATCGGAACAGAACTTTCTGTTCTTCGTTTCCGGGCATCGTTTCATGTTTCGGCGATGGCCCGGCTTATCCGGAGGGGTGAGATGAGATGAGAGCGGTCGCGAAGCGAGTTGGCTTATCCGGAGGGGTGGGGGGGGGGAGGATGCGGGCCGATAACCTAACCTGTTCGCTGTGGACAGCCCCGCGCAAGCCCGCGGGCCCCAATACCGCGTATCCCCTTCGGGCCTGCGCAACCGGCAAGGTCAGGCATCCGGGGTGGGAGGGGGGGGGGTGCGGGCGGGCCCGATAACCCCCTCCTCCTCCTCCTCCTCCTCCTTCTCCTCCTCCTTCCCCTCCTCCTCCTCCTCCTCCTCCTCCTCCTCCTCCTCCTCGGGTTCTCGCAGGATCCTTACAACAAATCTCCTTGGCGGTGGACAGAATCCTCTGTAGCGAAGCGCCCTGAAAGCTGCTGGGGGCGCTCCACGTGCGCACGGCACCGCATCCTGTGTGCTCCCCAGCGAAGTAGCTGATCGGCGTCCAAAAACAAACAGGTTAGAAACTCGTTTTGGCCCCCTGCGCTTTTGAGGGAAACGAGGTCAATGTAGTAGCACCACAGAACGTACGACAAGAAGTTCGAGGCCGAACCCGCATGTTCGTGACCACCACTCCCTCTCTCCCTCTGTCTCTCTCCCTCTCCTTTTCTTTCTCTCTCTCTCTCTCTCTCTTCTATCTCTCTCTCTCTTGCCTACTACATCTGTTATATGTATAGACATGTTTAAACACATATTTATATGCGTATATACATGGGAGGTTGGGAGGTTGGAACGGAAGTGACCCAAACCGGGATGGCGTGCGGGCGAGGCGAAGCTGCACGAGTTCCTGTAGGGGCCACCTATTGCCAAAAGGACCGCCCCCCCCCCCTCCCCCCCCCTCCCCCGAGCGCCAGGCGTGGTTCCCGTTTGTCCCGGCGATTGTCCTGGCGGTTGTCCTGATTGTTGTGGTTGTCCCGATGGCTGTCCCGGTGGTTGCTCTGATGGTTGTCCCGATGGTTGTGGTTGTCCCGATGGTTGCCCCGATGGTTATCCCGATGGTTGTCCCGATGGTTGTCCCGATGGTTGTCCCGATGGTTGTCCTGATGGCTGTCCTGATGGTTGTCCCGATAGTTGTCCCGATGGTTGATCCTGATGGTTGTCCCGATGGTTGCCCCGATGGTTGTCCCGATGATTGTCCCGATGGCTGTCCCGATGGTTGTCCCGATGGTCGTCCCGATGGTTATCCCGATGGTTATCCCGATGGCTACCCCGATGGTTATTTCGATGGCTCGTAAAAAAGATAGATCGATATATATATATATATAGATAGAGAGAGATAGAAATACATAGAAACATGTTTCTGTCTCTATACACAGATGTTGATGAAATGGTAGTCGAATAAAAAGAAAAAATTAGAACGACATGTCGGGATAGGTAAATCGATAGATCGGAAGTGACCCTAACCGGGAACTCGGTGCCGGCTTCGATTCGTGTCGTGGGTGCGGGCGGGCGAAGCTGCGCGAGTTCCATCCTTAGTAGAGGCCATCTGTTGCAAAAAAAACGCCCCCCGAGCGCCGGGCGTGGCTCCCGGGTGTTCCAGCGGTTGTCCTGGCGGTTGTCCCGATGGTCGTGGTTGTCCCGATTGTTGTCCCGATGGTTGTCCCGATGGTTGCCCCGATGGTTATCCCGATGGTTGTCCCGATGGTTGTCCTGACGGCTGTCCTGATGGTTGTCCCGAAGGTTGTCCCGATGATTGTCGCGATGGTTGTCCCGATGGTTGTCCCGATGGTTCTCCCGATGGGTGTCCCGATGGTTGCCCCGATGGTTGTCCTGATTGTTGATATGTTGTCCCAATGGTTGTCCCGATGGTTTCCCCGAATACGTTTGTATATAAACATAAATATATACAAGTACATGTGTCTAGAGAGGTCGACTTTCATGAGTATAGAGAGGTAGCTATACATAAATAAGCATCCAGGGAGATACACATATATATGTATATATAACAACTATATATACATATATTTATATATGCATACATCTATATATATATATGAACACACACCCATACATATGTTCATAGATTGATTGACAGACAGATGGGCTGATATGTTGATCTATGTATCGAGAGATAGAGATGGATGGTTGTCCCGAATAGATAATTCGATAGAAAGGCGGTCGATAGATGGGCAGATGAGCGCGAACATAAAACAAGTTGAAGAAACCACCGACGAACGCAGAGCCATCGCAAATCGACCGCCTCCCCCTTCTCCCCTCCAACCTCCTTGTCACCCGAAGGGTGGTCCTATCGGAGGATCCATGTGTGTACCATGCCTTCTCCTCCTCCTCCTCCTCGTCCTCCTTCTCCTCCTCATGTCCTCCCTGGTCCTCCCACATCCCCCGTGAAAACAGGAGGCTGGGGATGAGAAGGATGAGGATGATGATCAGGAGTAGGAGGAGAGGAAGAGTGAGGAAGAGTATGAGGAGTGATAGGAAGGGCAAGGGGGAGGAGCAACAAGCTGATAATGATGAAGAATTATTTCGCCTGCTCTCCCCCTTCCGCTTCATTATCCTCCTGCTGTTCCTCCTCCTCCTCCTCCTCCCCCTCCCCCTTCCTCCTCCTCCTCCTCCTCCTCGTGCTCCTCCTCTTCCTCCTGCCCCCATAACAACTCATCCTCCTCATCTCCCTCCTCCTCCTCCTCGCCATCAACCTATTGCGTCTTCCCCCCTCTCTCTCATGTTGGAGGAGAAGGAACAGTAATATAAGGAGGAATGCTACGAGCACGCGGAGCAGGAGGGCAATGATGATCATTATGACGTTAAGAAGTCACTCCTCCCGGTCCTATGCTCCCATCAATCATACGTGTCCTCGTCCTCACCCTCCTATCACTACTGCCATTCGCCCCCCTATCCTTCCTATGAGAGGAGGAGGGGGAGGAGAAGGAGAAAGAGAAATGGTCCTCGACATCGCATCCTCCCCCTGTTCATGGTGTCAGCATCCTCATCCTCCACGTCATCCCTCTATCACTCCTCCTTATCGTCCTGCTCCTCCTCGTCGCCATCGCAATCACCAACACCATCATCACCATCATCATCATCATCATCACCATCATAATCACCGTGACCGTGACCATCACCATCGTAAACATTGTTATCATCATCATCATCATAATCATCGTCGGCATTATCATCATTATCGCCATCACCATGGTCATCATCATGATCATCACCATGATACTCACCAACATCATCATCACCATCACCATCACCATCCCCAACGTCATCATCATCAGCAGCATCATAATCATCATCACCATCAGCATCATCTGCATCAACACCAGCACCCATCATCATCATCATCATCATCATCATCATCATCATCATCATCATCATCACCAGCAACATCATCATCAGCATCATCCCCCTTCTCCGCCCGTTATCATAAGAGATCTGCTGGTGAGCTCGACTGACAGAGGGAGAATGGGCGGGAGGAGGAGGGTGATGAGGAGGCAGGACTTGGATGGAAGCAGGGTGAGGAGGGTGAGGAGGAGGAACAGGAGGAGGAGGAGGAGTGACACCTCAACCTCCTCCTCCTCATCCTCCTCGTCCTCCTTCTCCAGTTCATCATTCTACCAGTGCCCCTCCAAACTCAGGATCCAATCACCACACACTCACACTTCTCGTCCTCCTCCTCCTCGGCAGGACATGTATACAGTTGTGATGGGCAGGGTGAAAGGGAGGAGGTGGAAGAGTGAGTCATCAACCTTACCTTCCTGCTGCCCCCCTCCTGCTCCACCTCCCTCTCATATCCCTCATCTGCCCCCTCGTGACACTTCCCCTCCTCCTCGCCCTCCTTCCTTTGGAGAGATACAACGAAGATGAGGATGACGCATGCACGGATAAAGGGCAGGAGGACGGGTGATGGGAACATGAGGGCGATGAGGGCGAGTGGCACCTCAGCCTCCTCCTCCTCCTCCTTAGTCTGCTAATCCTCCTCCGCTGCAAATCGTATCGCTCATCCGTCTCCACCTCCTCTTCAGTAGATCCATGTACATCACGATTCCCCATAAGGGGGAATACGGGGAGGATTGTAGAGGATGGTAAGTAAGGAAGGGAACATGGGAGGGGCAAAAGGAGGGTGCGGGTGAGTGCGAGGAGGAGGAATACTGTTATGAGCAGTCTTCCTGGTCCTCCGCCTCCTCCTCCTCCTCGTCCTCCTCTTTCTCCTGCTCCTCCTCTCCTGCTACTGCTGCTCCTCCTCCTTTTCGTCTTCCTCCTACCCCTCCTCCTCCGCTTCCGTCCTCCTCCTTCTCCTCATCCTCCT